GTCAGGACGTAGAGGTGTGCTAAACTGCTTGATGTTGGTGATTGGCATGATACTAACATCAGTCTATAGAAATAAAACAACAAGGGACTAGGTTACCTTAAGCAGACTTCCCCAAAATATCAAATATTTCGTTTCAATTCCAGCATTTCTTCAGATTGTCTCAGTTTTAAATGAAGAAATGTGAAACAAATATGTCAAAAGGAACTAACCCTTACCCCTGTTAACCAAAATTCTTTTTCCAGAAATCTTTTTACCTGTTGGAGTAAAATAGATGCCTTGGCTGGGGCATAGTCATTGTGATATTCATGGTGGAAAAACAAAAACAGTAGAAATGTTAACAGAACTATATCTAACTATGAAAATTGAATGTAATATTGCAATGGTCAGAAGAAAAACAAATTTTATGATATATGAGATGATGACATTGTGAAATATTCTACCTAATTGTTTTAAGTACAGGTATGTCTAATTTTCAACTTACATTCAGAAAAATTACCTTTCTTTCATGCCCATGTTGAAAAATAAGAATAAAGACAAAGTTTGTGCCATTAATGTATTGAAACAATGCATACTTTGTTAACTTCCTCAACTCTCAGTATATACTTTCATAATATACATGGCAAGTATTTATTTAAGCAGAGCGTCTTAGGTTTGTCTGTAACTTACAATTTTGATTATTCTTATTAACATGTTAAAACAGAAAATCAAAGTCTTTAGCAGGTTTTTATTAGGAATTGCCTCATAACATTGATGTTTTTTCCTCAGGGATAGGCATTTTAAAAGAGATGGTCTTATTGAAACTTACTAACATGTCATAATTTGAATTTGCAAAGATAATGATTTTGCATTTGATTATTTGAAGTTTGTTTATATTATTTCTTAAAAACTTATAGACATGTTCAGTGTTGGTTGTGTTTATATTATTTCTTAAAAACTTATAGACATGTTCAGTGTTGGTTGTGTTTATATTATTTCTTAAAAACTTATAGACATGTTCAGTGTTGGTTGTGTTTATCTTATTTCTTAAAAACTTATAGACATGTTCAGTGTTGGTTGTGTTTATATTATTTCTTAAAAACTTATAGACATGTTCAGTGTTGGTTGTGGTTGTGAATGCTGTAATTTGATCAAAAATAATCAGAATTGCTAGCCATAATTTTGAATTTTTATACTTAACTTGTGTGTTACTGGTATTTCTCACAGAAAGCATAGAAATAGTTTTAAAACTTTATAAGCAAATTTAGTATGTATTTTTTGGTGTTTTTTTTTTTTCAATATGGCAAATTTTCAGTTGGATTAGATATTAATGGTATCACATGTGACCATTTTGTATTTTGACTTTCAAGGTTTGAAAGGCTGATGGTGGGTATCAAGATCCATCTGGGATCTTTGTATAGTTGATTTCAAAAGTCAAAATTAATGATGCTTGTATGTGAAAGTCAATTTATTTACTACCATGTATATATTTTGTTGAGGTGTCAAAGTATTGCAACATATAACCTGCATGTTTATGTATGTATGTCACAGTAACTAAGTGTAAGTTTGTGAAGAACATCAAATATATAGTTTTTATTTTTTTTTCATCATTGACAGGATAATGATATTGAAATCACCAGTCATTTACATCTGTTGATTTTGATATGGTTTTTGCATTTACAAAATAAATGTTTGAACATTGAGTATTTGTATCTGTCATAGCTTTATATTGTGTTTGACTTCTCAACAATTAGTGCAGTCTTGCAAAAATCAAAATGTCCACTCAAATTTGAAATTTCTGTGTTTTCAGAACAAGTTTCGAATTTTGCTCTCACAAAATTGAATTGTTAATTTAAGGATACACTATAATGCTGTTACATATGGTCCAAAAGTAATATTAAAGAGAATAAGAGCATTGAATTTATTAAAGTATCAAAACTTTATAGTTTTTACTGGGAAAAAAATCCCTTTTTTTTCTCAGCAAGTTATTTATGTTTTTGCAGGTAAAATTGTATTGTTTTGCACTGCATTTCCAATCTTCCTATTTATAGCATCTGTGTCTGCCCCACAATCACCATCAGATATGATGACTGGTCTAGAGATACCTCCTACACCTATTTCTCGCACAACAGTAAAGTCGAGGTCCAGTATTTCCTCAGATACGCCTCGTTCTCGACGTCATGCCTCAGGTCAGGTGCCTGCCAAGCCTATGAGCTCCTGGGAAACCCTGGTCCTGTTTGCAGTTAACCTGTCAAGGCTTGATCTAAATGTGAACATGAGTAACGTTATGGGTAATACTATGTAAGTATAATAATGAGATGTTAATGAGATGTTCACAATTAATAGGACCAGACCAGAAATATGAAATTAAGGAAAGTTAAAATGATTTCATGTCAAGTGATAGAAATACCAGCTGTGAAAGCATGTATTAACAGTAAGCATGCATTAGTACCAAAAGGCAAAGATTCACTTAACAACAATATATCCTAAGGAATAATTCTAGTACCGCCTTGCTTGATGTATTCAGATCTTGACATATTACTGGAGTATTCACATCTTAACATATTACTGGAGTATTCACATCTTAACATATTACTGGAGTATTCACATCTTAACATATTACTGGAGTATTCACATTTTTACATATTTCTGGAGTATTCACAAAGACAAGTATGGATTGATCCACCCTAAAAGGATGGAAGAGTCTAACATGTTACTCCAGGTGAAAAGAAGTAAGCTAGATGTTGATTGGCCTCATTGTATAAATAAGTGACTTTATTTGACAGCTGGACCACCCAGAAGATAAAGACAGATGGACGCCTGTCCATTGACAGTAGCGGTCATCGTGATCTCAAGATCTGTGCCGGGATGGTTAGCTCTCACTTTGACTCCAGAGGTGGTGTTGTTGGTGGAACAGTGGACCTCAACAATCTAAATGCATTCTGTGAGTGAAATATCACAGCAGACATATTTTATCCCATGTTATTAAGATAGCCTGTATATATTAATAATATTAGTCTGTGTATTCATGTTCTGACTGATATAGCTGGTAGATAGGAAATGGATGCAATATTATATACATGGGTTACGCTTATAAATCATGTACATTCATCTGGGATTTCACAGTTGAATGGATGTTGCTGATGCTGAATTTTGCCTTCAATTTGAAATTAACTGATGTACTTCTCAGAGAAAATGGTCTCTGTTATACCCCTTTCCCGTAAATTAAGGAGTGGAGAGAATCACATTTCCTCCACCAATCACTTCTGCTATTTCAGACAGAAATGTATTTAAGAAGCATTGCTTATTGGTATATAACTGATATGAAATGTTTAAGAGAAGGCCAGTTTTTCATGATTCTTTAAACTTTTTGAATTTATTGTGGATATATTTTATTATTCATACTTAGTGTATACAGGTTATTTAATCCAGAGTATTACCTGATAGGCCTTGAAATATTCCTCTAGCTGACCACACCTTTTCATTATAAAAATAATGTAGAACATTTTCAGTAATCAAATATTCATATAAAATTTCCAAATCCTTGATGGAGTTGTACACTACATGGTGAAAAATTTGTTACATGTTTAATGTCTATGGTTGTATTTAGCCCTTCTTACAGTGGGTGTCAGACTAGCCTGGATGTAAGGTTTGTGAAATAGTACATCTTATATAGAAACATTGTCACATGTTTAACACCATTTGTGTTAAGTTGAGGTAAATGAAGACCCAGAGTTGGGGAAGGAACCAAACCACAAGGCGGGATTGGGGTTGGAAGCCATGGAACTGAGGCTTGATTACATGGGTACAAGTGTCCTGATGGCTCGGCTTAGCTCCCTCGATACCACACTCCGTGACGAGTGGCATGTTGACACCAACAATGAGTTAGACACACCACTGGCTACCAAACGGTGAGGCAATTTTCTAATCCTGTTCATTTCTTTTATGGAATTATTGACACAGCATCAAAGACCATTTGGCCACAGCATCATATCGTACTTCAACTGGCACTAGGGTCTCATTGGACACCATCATATTTCATAACCACATGTAGGCACATGACTATATTGAACATATTTTCATGGCAATTGCGATTTTATACTCTCATGCTTAAGTGTTTACCAAAATGTGTCACCATCTTTTCATATTTTATTTCACAACAACCACTAAAGACCTTTTAGTCTTTTAGCCTTAATCTTCTTTATGTTTGTCAGACAAAAGATATCACATGTAAGTGTTTATAAATCAACAATGCTTCGTATTCAGGAATCTTTACATGGGACTTTGATTGGATGGATGACATTTTTTAGAATCTAGATTACTGAGATGGTCAGATTCATTTTCACTGTTGCTATAAACTTTGTTAAGCTTGAGTACATGTAAAATCCCTTTCTGTTACACTATTCTAATATATTTGTTTCCAAACAGGCCAGCATTCCTGTTTGCCCACGGTGAGTTAGGCTGGGACCAGTTCCACCTGATGTTGTCTCGCTCTACCACACCAGACATCATCAAGATGATTGCAAAGATTGAAGAGTTTATCACCATGCAGTTCACCAGCAGTAAGAGGGTGCTATCTGCATTTGGACCTATACCGGGCAGCAGCAAGACTCGAATCAGCGAGAGGAGGAAACTATCACAATCCAATGATAAACATTTTTTAGTTGACATTAATTTACATTTTATGTTGTGGGTATGAAAAATGATGAATAAGAGAGATTTGTGTTTGGGTCATGATCTATAGTTAAAACATCTGTAGACTATATCCTGAAATGGCAGAGAAGATTTGTTAAAATATTCTGTTTCATGACAGAGTTGGCTATTTGTTTGGAGGAAACTGATGGATGAACCATCTTGTAATCCAATGATAAACCCTTTTTTTCACACTGATAATTTACATCATTTAGGGAGCTTTGATTGTGGGTATTTCATGCTGAAATTTGTAAGATGAGAATAAAGACCTTTTGTTTGGGTAGATCACAATTCCTGTTTGCAGTGAGTAAACCACACCAGACATCATCAAGATGATTGCAAAGATTGAAGAGTTTATCACAATGCAGTTCACCAGTAGTAAGAGGGTGCTATCTGCATTTGGACCTATACCGGGCAGCAGCAAGACTCGAATCAGCGAGAGGAGGAAACTGATGGATGAGGCCGAGAGTATGTAATCCAATGATAAACCTTTTTTAGTCACGACATTAATTTACATTTTATGTTGTGGGTATGAAAAATGATGAATAGATAAGAGAGATTTGTGTTTGGGTCATGATTGGCTATAGTTAAAACAACATCTGTAGACTAATATAGATTTATCCTGAAATGTTTTTTAGTGAGTAAATCATTTAAGCTTTGATAGAAATATTTTTTAGTTTCATGCTAGTAAGAAGAAGAAAGACCTTTTGCAAATTGAATGAATGCATGTTAAAATATTCCTGTCAAAGCTTATCATTGATTTCTTGGATAGGATTCAAAAACAAAAATAACAAATAAACGACAGATTAACATGTTTATTTTTCTTCAATTGACAATGATGCCAAATTAAAACTGCGCCATTATGTTTGAATGCAACAAAAATTTCGTTTGATCTGCTGAAATTTTCGTGCTGATGGGACTTCTTTCGTAACCGGCCAGAAAAGACTGGAATAACCGAAGTGGTATAAGAAAGATAATTCTAGGTTGAGAAGGTTTCAATTTAAAGGACAAAAGCAACATAAAATGTCCTAGAAATTGTCTGACCGTAGATGGTATCAGACACAATATCATTTTATCCTATATGGGCACCTGTTGCTTATATAAAAAATTGTTAACATTATATGATTAATATATACTGTAAATCAATGCTTTTTTTTGTGGAGGATTTATTTTTATTGACTTTGTTGTGACTCTTTGAATTCAATCTTTGAATTAATTTTTCAATGAACTTTTAAAGTCAGTATAAACGAACTTAATGAGCAATACATATCAAGGAAATTAAATTAGCCATGAAAATTTTTTTTTTTAATTCAAGTTTTTCTCCATAACACATACAACTATACAATCTCACCTCACAATGATCCAAATTTGTGTACACACATACATTTTAGTAGCATACTGTACTGTACAACTTACACTTAATGATATCAATTTGTATACACACATACATTTTAGTAGCATACTGTACTATATAAGTTACATTTAATGATATAAATTTGTGTACACACATACATTTTAGTAGCATACTGTACTATATAAGTTACATTTAATGATATAAATTTGTGTACACACATACATTTTAGTAGCGTACTGTACTGTACAACTTACACTTAATGGTATAGATTTGTATACACACATACTTTGTAATAGTATACTGTACTATACAACTTACACACCAATGATATAAATCTGTATACACACATACTTTGTAATAGCATACTGTACTATATAAATTACACACAATGCTATAAATTTGTATACACACATACTTTGTAATAGCATACTGTACTATATAAATTACACACAATGCTATAAATCTGTATACACACATACTTTGTAATAGCATACTGTACTGTACAACTTACACACAATGATATAAATTTGTATACACACATACTTTGTAATAGCATACTGTACTATATAAATTACACACAATGCTATAAATCTGTATACACACATACTTTGTAATAGCATACTGTACTGTACAACTTACACACAATGATATAAATTTGTATACACACATACTTTGTAATAGTATACTGTACTGTACAACTTACACACAATGATATAAATTTGTATACACACATACTTTGTAATAGTATACTGTACTGTACAACTTACACACAATGATATAAATTTGTATACACACATACTTTGTAATAGTATACTGTACTATACAACTTACACACAATGATATAAATTTGTATACACACATACTTTGTAATAGTATACTGTACTATACAACTTACATACAATGATATAAATTTGTATATAGAGGTATGTTAGAGGTACACATGTATATTGAACTTACATCTTACACATAATGATATAAATTTGGTTACACATGTAGTTAGTAATATACTATATTTTCACAAGTTGGTAACTTAACGTATAGTTGTATAATTTTTATTTTAATCAGCAGATTATCTTAACTTAATAACTTATTTATAAAAATCCATTTGTTTTTTTATCTTTTCTTGTTTTTTATATGTATATGCATATATTCCCATATCTTCTATTTTATTATAATAGTTCATGTATTTTTTCCCTTCAGAAATTGTAGGTACTGTATTTTTCAACTTACAATAGTAAATAAAGTATCTCATGAGAATTAGTAAAAAATTAATTTCATATCGGTGTTCCATATCTACATCTGTTACACCAAAAATAAAGATTTTTGGATGCCTAAGTAAGGTTATTTGGTATTTGTTTTCTAACATTTCCATCAACAAAAGCCAAAATGTTTTGACAACACTACATTCCCAGAACAGGTGAATGATAGTTTCCCTCTCATTTATACAGAAGGTACATCTTTCAGTTTCTGTTAGTTTACATTTCATTAACTTTGTATTAGTATACAATATATTGTGTATTATTTTATACTGAAAGTTTATAAGTTTTGTATCATCAGTTACCTCCTTTGGCATGATATTAATCAGTTCCCAAGTTTCTTCACTGATATAGCCATGAAAATTGAGCCCTTGAAAATATATGATTTTAGAATAAATATTTACTTTACTAGGCTGGGACATCCGTCACCATCGTCACTGGCAGAAGGCTTTAGAGCTCGTATCAGGCTGTCGCTTCAGTATGCTTCCCACTATCATCCCTAAAGAGGGCACTATCCTGGGAGGAAACATGACTCTCCGCGGAAACAACCTCTCCCTCGCCTGCTTTCATGGGATCAATTTTAAGTCCAAATCCTGGGCCATATTCACAGTAGATGAGCCATACATTTTCTTTGCAACAGAAGCACAAAAAACACCAGAACAAGGTGTGTATTGGTATTAGATGTATTTTCTACCTTGCCATGAAATGGCTGGTACATGTAGAAGTCATAATCTGTCATACTGACCAGCTTTTTATAAGGATATTGAATATATTTTGGGTGGAAGTTCTTTTAGGTCAGATATTGATGTTATTGACTTAAACGTGAAAAGAGAAAATGATTATTGCTGCTTTTATTTATGGTTATAAACTCCATCTTCGTGTAAGTTGGAGGCAAACTACAGATAAAGGTCTATTTGATTTAGAGAAACGAAAGTGATTTAACTGGTTTTATTCAGCTGTTCATGTTGTGGAGGACCTGACATTCTACATTGGTCATGAACTGACTGCCCACACACGTAGTAAGAATATGGCCACCATCTGTAAGCTGAGCCGTGGCCACTCCATGCCACCAACATTCACCAGTGTCCAGCAGTGGTTTCACTATGCCTTTGCCACGTCAGAGGTTAAAGGTCAGTCAAGACATTTTACTTTTTCCTTTGTAAATTCTGATAAATTTGATCAAGGGTCAGATCTATGATTTGCCAAACCATAATAAGTATTACCTATACAATGCTGTCACACATATTTTATATTGAACCTTTCAGGATTACCAGATAAAAGAGGAAGTTTTCACTGTGTTAGGGCAATAACTGATTCTGTTTTGTTGTAGTGGCAACATTGAAAATATCTATTTATGTACTTTTTTCATGGTGATCTATGCAAAATTACCTAAAAGTTTTACAAGCCATGAACCAAACTTTTACATATTACTTGTAGGGTTGGACACATTTCCAGAGATGTCCAGAGAGAGTGGGGATCCCCAGGCAGACCCCTACAAGTCGGCACGGAGCAGGAAAGCCCAAGAGTATAATCACGACACGGAGATCATCTTTGCTTTCCCATCCCTCCAGATGCACCTCAAAACTATCCATGAACAGGCTGAAACGGAACCACTACCAGAAGGTAGGTATATTTGTGATACGTATATCATTAAATAAGTCATTAGGAATTCAGAGCATACGGAACACTATCAGTATTTCATGATTCAGACCACAAAGACTGGTTGATTATACAGATAAATGGAGAGTAAATGTTTAATAGTTATAAAATATTTTTATGGACCGGTGAAAAATAAATTGCATGTGAATGTCCTTACTATTTCAGATCCAAAGCCTCAAGTGGATTGCAGCTTTGTCACAGAGTTTGAGGACCACATTTTTGTTGCTATGGATGCAGAGGTTATCCTCTTTCTGCATGACCTTGTCTCTATGTACATCAAAGAAAAAGACAAAGGTAAGTCATGCTTAATAGCAGGTACATCACTAGTCTCTATTTATATACTGTAGGTTGTCCTTTCAGAGTTTTATCTGAACCACATAGCAATCAAATCATTGATCAAGAACCAGGCTGTGGCACTGTATCAGCAAGTATTGGAATGAACATTAACAAAACAAAAGTGTTCAAATTTTTCTTCTTCCATCTGAAAAGGTGCACAGAATTTGGATAAAGTTGATGGTGATGAAAGCCTCAAGCCTACTTATGACTTGTCTTTTTTTGTTCTCATTCTGATAGCAGTACATGTGTTATGTTCCTAAAATACAGAGGGAATAAGATTTAATGACTCTTTTAGCCTTTCCCTAATTTTTAGCTCACCTGGGCTGAAGGGCACAGGCCAATATGGGAAACTGAGCAAATTCTTTAAAATCCTCCTCTATCCTGTAGGAATTATTGAATTTTGCAAATATTTTGTTTGGAGTATCGTTTGATGAAAAGAAATATATTTTGTTTGGAGTATCGTTTGATGAAAAGAAATCAGTTTTGAAGTTTCGACCCTTTGGGGCAGGAGGGGCATGGCCCAATGAGGTAAACAGAGCAAATGCTTTAAAATTCTTCTTCTATATGAATACCTGGATGTTGTCCTAATTTTGCCTGAAGCATGCTTTAGTGAAGGTGAATCAATTTTGTAAAAATGGTGGATCTCAGCCCTGTAGGATGGAAGGAATAGGGCCCCGTAGAGGAAATACAGCAAATTCTTTAAAATCATTTTGCTTATGAGGGAATACCTGGATCCTGTTCCAATTTGGTTTAAGACGTGTTTGGGTGAAAGGGATCAAAGATGCTTGAACAATGGGTCTGGCGCACTGGGTCAGGAGGGGTGGGACCAGAAAATGGAAATACAGCAAGGTCTTTCAAATCCTTCTCATGTGTGAATTGATGACATCATTGGTAAAGAGAGTTTTTACAAACAATGCATATAACCCCTTTTTGCAATTAGATAAAAGTGTTTTATATACCTTTTCCCTTAGTTAAGATAAATCAATTTCAGCAAAATATACCAGGTGAGCAATGCAGGCCCAATAGGCCTCTTGATTTCTGAATCAAAATGAAGCCATACTCCTGATCCTTTAAAGGAATTTAGGATTCAGATTGTCTTTATTATACTTAAGGTACATATGGTTCGGGTCCAAAGTCTGCAAAATCTCCGGAGTCGGAGAAGAAGAGGATAACACATCCCACAACAGCTCTGAAACAGGACTGGCGTGAATTTGAGTGTAATACATGGCATGTCGAACCCACAGTTAGGTATGTGCACCTAGTCTGGAAACAGCATTGTTTTAAACATTATGAGAAGAGAAAGAAGTTAAAGAATGAAATACCTTTCTTTTACCACGAAATATGTTTTAAATGAAACTTATGTATCTCAGCTTTATTGTGTTGCTTATTCAGATTTTCAAATTGACTTCTTGATAATTAGGAATTAAGAAACTGGTAGTCAATATAGACTGCTTGGGCCTCTTGTTTACAATAAATCTTCAGTTTATAATCTACTCAGGTATCTATTATTAAATGTTACCATGAGGATGGACTGTTATTCTTCTGACCTTTACCTTAATCTACTTTTGACCTTTACCCTTAGGCTATTACACTGGGCTAGTAAGCAGATTGACCCTGTTGGAGTGGACTATGTTCTACAGAAGCTGGGCTTCACTCATGCAAGGGTCACAATTCCAAAATGGATGCAGCGTGGACTCCTTGACCCCATGGACAAGCTCACCTCCTTCCTTGTCCAAAATCTCATTCTTGTTCTTAAGGAAAAACCAAAGGAGGATGAGGAGGAAGACTGAACAAATCTGGAAGATAGGATTACAATACTGAATTCAGATGAGGAAATGTTCTTAGAAATTCAGAGGTTGTCTGTTTTGCTATCTCAGCACTTGAACAAACAGGGATATTGACCATTTATGCTTTATTCTTCTACCAAACACCATGGTTGTTTTTGTCATCATCATCTCACTGAAAACTGTTGTTTGAAAGGTGGTAGTAATGTTATTTAGGTTTACATACAACCATGTCAAGTACTCCATGACTCTCACACTTCCAAACCAAATTTATGTGATACAGTGCAATGCTTGTTTTCACATAAGTGATGGTCATTCAAGTTGAAGGCCAGTAATGGAAATGAAGGTCATTCAAGTTGAAGGCCAGTGATGGAAATGAAGGTCATTCTAGGTGAAGGCCGTTTCTGTCCCTCCATAGTTAGATATCAATAAACCTATTTTGATATTCAGGTAGTATGAGATTAGTATTTGCACTCCTTTCCCATTCCTTCATTCATCCCCAACCTTCATTCCATCCCAACCCTACCCCTTTCCCAACCCAGGAAGAATTTAGTCGGAGAGGTGTGTATTTGGACTGAGAAAAATCTTAAATTCCTCCACGATATTTTCTTTTCAATTTCTGAAACACTAATTCATTTGTAATGAGATCAATGGTGAATGACCAACTGTTAAATACCATGACTTATTTTCAATTTAAAATACTCATGACCTCAACCCTGAATGAGCTGTTCAATGTATAATGTATACTTTTATAAAGTAGTTGCTTACAGCAGTAGATGCAGATTTTATGTTAATAGGTTTTTTCTGTACATAAAGCCAAACCTTTAAAGATATGCATATTTCTATAATACACATTGAATATTTATACTGTATGTGATATATGGAGGATGTGTAGGAGTTATCTCCCTTCTAAATCGAATTCATATTGTTTTGTATATAAAAAATTCAAATTTATTCAATTTATTTATATTGAGTAATAATGACATCTTATTCAGTTACTAAAATAAGTTAAATGTGTTACTTAATAAAAGGAGGAAACAGTTGTAGTTTTAGAAAATAAGGGTGATGAATAGTAGTAAATGAGGACATATTTCACCTCCTTTTTTAAATAGTGAGATTTTATTTTGATTTTTTAAAGCCATGTATACATGACAGTATTTTTATTTTTTTCTATAAGATATATCTAATGGAATTCATTGCATAACATATTAGCAGGAAAATAAAGTCATAATAGTAGAGGGGATCAGACCATTAATTAGATGTAAACTCTGAGTTGCTGTACCGTTTCAATATATGTACATACATTCGTGTCAAAGATACTGATTTCGGTCAAAAAAATGACAGCATGTGTTCAGATGAATGTGATACAGTTTCATTCTTGTAAAAAGTTTCCTTATATTTTGCAAAGTCCCAATTCCTTAATGCAAAAATATAAGTGTACAAAAATCACTATTCATGTCTTGTGGAACTACCAGAAAGAATGCCAACATGTAAGTCTTAGTTAAAAATCAACTGAAACACTAATACACGGACCATGATGATTTTACTGTAAAGTTTTTCGTTGTTTCACGGTTGCTAGCATCAAACTTAACAAAAAAGATACTCTTGTTATCATGTCAGTGGTTTATATTTCTAGATGGCTTTCTGGTTAAGGAGTATTCCATGTTAGTCACAACATTGTTGATCCTCAAATCCAGTATTTCAGATGACTCACATTCTGGCTATGTTTGCTGGGAGCGATTTCTGTGGATATAGAAGTTAAAGTGTATTCTGAAAGTCAGCTTTAAGATATTTATTATGTACATATTGTAAATATAATCTTTTGTTGTGAAGATTTTGCTTAAGTAGTCTTGTGTAAGGTAGTAGAAACATGGACATGTTTCTGATGTTGTTGTACACACTGTATATATATTTTAATGGACACATGTGATTCGAGGTAATTTGTGACAGTCAGATGATAGTCATGTACTTTGGACTATATGTGCATGTATTTCCTGGTAATATGGATGATATTAATGCATATCCATTACATTTTAAATAATTGTTACAACCTTATATAATAATATATACAACACACATTATGATCTCACGTAACACATCCCTTGAAATTATTTGTCAAACATATTTTATTATTCTAATTTTTAATTTTGTTATTCCCCTGTTGTTGCCCCTACCTAAAAACTGTTAATTATGTGTACTCCTTCCCCTAATCTTCCATGTCATTATGATGTATTTACAAGATGTGTTCATACATCAAAATATATTATATAAGTTACTTTCATTTTACATAATATCTATTTTCATGTAAATTCCTGTTCAGCATCAAATGTTCAGTGAAACCCAAACTACTCTGGAAAGTGTTTGTTAAAGACAGCAGAACAGTTTGTGTGTAAGACATGTATTACAATCACACTGATACATTTATTTTTAGTATTCCCATAGATGTATCTTTTTGTGTATGATTAGCATAATCTTACTTTTTGTAATTCAGCATATATATTTATGAGAATCCTTAATACATATTCATGAAAGTCCAGGACGCATATTTATGAGAAAATACATATTTATGAGAATCCATCATACATATTCATGAAATAGCTTATTCATAATTGTGAAAATTACTTGTACATATTTATAGAATCCTAACAAAACATATTCCTGATATCATCTGCACAGTATCGACATAATAAGATATTCATTTTGGTTTTTGATACTATTTCATGAGAATTATTCCTATTTGAATAATTTTTATTTAATAATTTGAACATGTTGGATCAGTGTTCTCGATATTCACATGTCATAAACACAGGAGGAAATATTTCTATCTCCCAAAATAAGTCTTTCTGATACTAGATATAACAGTAAATTAATCTCTGACACTGGGAGATATTTACTGTGGACATTGATTGTAATACATCGATTCATTTATCATTGTGTACAGACATAGAATTTTCCTCGTGGACATTGGAATGAATGTGTTGTGTATATGCATTTGATTTGAAGAGTGTTCATTTATCCAGTGTTACAAGTGTATGCATTGAAATTTTGACTTTGCAGCTGTGTGGGCATCAATTAAAATCACAGTTGATGTTGAGGTACATGTAGTGATGGCCTGTATGTAAAAAACATTTGTGTTGTAACAGAGGAGTCTTTGACTTTAGAACTGCGCTTTGATTGAAACAGTGTGAACATTGAAGCTAATATCCATGGTGATATGGTGGTTGGATCATTGCGGTAGTGACATTATAGAAGTAGGTGTAAATAATAGTATAGACAGATGTTGAAACAGTAGATGGATGTGAAATGACTTCGTAAAACTACTCAATTTAACATTTTGTGTCATATAAACCATTCATAGATTTAAAACCTTAATTTTAATTCATTCTAATTATTTTAAAGAAACCTGCTACTGTGCATACATAAGGTGATGCTCATGTTTTCATTAATCAGAAAGAGCAAAGTCACATGTGAACATTATAAAACAAGAGGTACTCTTGGCAAGTTTGATAAACTTCAAATCATTTTGAGGTGTCATCTCCTGGCTATGGGTGGTGGCTTCATTAATGAATAACATATCTTTTAGTTATTTACATAGGTTTTACTCACTGACTTGGAGAGCAGCAGGAATGTCTGTCACCATTTGCCACATATACACCCTTCCAGGTATTCAAATTTCAAATATTTCAAATTATTTTTATCTACAACTCTTCATCTGTCTGGCTCCCATTTGAAATGTGATAGGCCTGTGCTTTGAAAAACTTTTGTATGACTGTGACTTCAATTTTGTGTTCCCCCCACCCCCCCACCCCTCAAAAAAAAAAAATAAATAAAATAATGCTTTTACAGCTCTCAGTAGTGAATATTTCAAAACTTGTGGTCACGTCTTTATTCAGTCATCGACCTTTTTTACATAAATATATATTTACAATTGTGATACAAGCTATCAGCTTATATTCATCACATCACTCTTGTTGGTCTGGATAGATACAGACGAGGGGTCTCACTGTGGATGGGCAGGTGACTCGATACCTTTTCATGCCCATTTAGGGAAGTGAACTGCAGATGTCAAGGTGAAAGGTTAGAATGTTACCACCCAACCACTCGTAGGTCTCTGTTGATGGGTTGAAAATTTCATATACACATCACAGTATATTTTATTGATTGAAGTCCTTAGTACCAACAAGTAAGATTGGAAATATCTTGCATCATTGTAAGAAATCATTGTGAAGGTCGTTTGGACGACTTGTCAGTCTATTTGGTCAATATAAAAACAAAATGGCAACCATCTATGTAACTGTGAAATCACAGGACTTCCTACGTTTGAATGTGAGGTGTTTTCTGTGAATTAAAATTGTGTAAATTCTGACTTTGCTTCACAATTTTCTTGATTCAAATTCTGACATCATTACTTACTAATGATAACACTACTAATTATTGTGTTTGAATCACAATATTTCTTGTGGCTTTGAATGTCAAATTAATTTTGTCTTTTGTTCATTAATCTACATTAGAGGTATACAGGGTTGGTATGAATGGTATGTACACTTCTTCAATAGAAAGAGAGATTTTGGAATATGGGGATTTGTTGGTTTCTGATTTTTCCAACTTTGTGATTAAGTGTTATAGATAACAGATCTTTCTCTTACTTTCATGCAGTTATAATGGGAAGAAAACTTAATAAATCAGAATAATTCATGATCAGTGTAGAAAAATATTTGGTAACCCCTCAGAAAGAACAAAAATAAAAAAGATAAACAAATGGTTTGAAAGTCCAACGACCAAAATCACAATTTGTTTCATTTTGCTCTTCTTGATTTTTAAGACTTAAGACCAATTTTTTTTTCTTCATTTTTTTTTCAAAAGTCACTTGAAAAAGCATGACCTCTTTCAATGGCAAAACAAAGAATGATTTTACCACTATGTTTTATTGTCACATCCAGTTTGTTATATAGAAGATTACCAGTATATTGACTATGTGTGATGGATGTGTGATGGTTTATAAGTGTTAAAAGTGTGGATGTTGATAATTACCTTATAGCAGAGATATTGTACTTAATGACCTGGAACCAGTATTGTATCAATACATATTTACTTTGTGAGAAACTGTTTTATAAACCCTTGATATTGAATGATAAGGCATTGCTTAATTTTAAGACTTGTACTTGATATCAATGTTCTGTAGAAGTATTATAACCACAAGACTTTAAATGGGGTTGTTTTTGTAACTAGATGAGGGGGTATCCATGAAGTCATAAGGTTGGGGGCGATTTTCCTTGTGATAAAAATAAAAGTGTTCATGAACTCTTACTGTAAACCCACATATTTACATGAGGCTCAATTCTTGTGGCTTTTTGGAGACTTGATTTCGTGAATACAGATCTGTAAAGCTACTTTTTGTGGAATTAGAATACTCATACAGTCGATGAAAATTACTCCCCCACAACAATTAATAGTTTTACAGTACATGTTGGGCAAAAATTATTTACAAAAAATAAATCATTTAGGAGTCAATGACACTATGATGTGGTAGTAATAGTGCTTCATCAGTGATGAGAACTGTAATGTTATCTTCACAAATTCATTGTTATTTTTTAATATTAAGGTGATGGCAAGAAAGTTTATTAGAATATTTTCAGGTTGGGTTTTATTTGATGATTGATAATTTACAATTATCTAATATTCATAATCTCATAATATATTTATTAAAAATGTTAAATGCTTACACACACAATCACACATGCACGAATCCACACATAGTTATTTGCACTATGTTATGTTTGACATTAACTACTACTTGATTCCTGGGTGATGGTTTTACCTATGGAATTTACATTAAATCTTAAAAGTCTTTCAATTGAAGGAAAGATGCCAAAAACACCAATGAAGAGTGCTAAACACAATGACAATACCCTGTACACCAGTACTACATTTGAAGGGAAGTTTGATTTGCAAATTAACTTACCAACTCCTAAAGGTTTCAGCTAAGAAATTACTTCAGTTTGTAAAGCCGTAGATAAACCTTAGTTCGTTAATTATCAGTAGTTGATAGTTTTTAAATATTGAGGTTTAGTTGTATTTAAGATTCACTATCTGCTGCTCAAAAAGCATATGTGCAATATCTTGGTTTGTGTTATTTATCATTATTTTGTTTGCATTAATTTGAAATGTTTCAGTATGTACTGAATATTCTGGAGTCTATGAGTTCATTATGCAAACATAAGTTTTTTGCTTGCTGACTTTGACTGGTCATGAGTCAGAAGGAAATAAGAAAATAAAACTTTAACTAACAAAAGTTATATGGTTTCCCCATTGATTACAGAGCTTTATAAAAATAAAGTACCACATCTGACAAACATTTTCAAAATAAAATTATATGAATTTGAAACATTATGCAGACAATGACTATTTCTTAGTGATAAGTTTACAAGTTACCAACAGCATTAAACTTTTTACAAGTGTTGCTATCTACGAATAATAATCATTATAACTTTGTCAATGGGAGTGCATGTAACTTTATCTCAGAAAAGCTTGCTTTCTATTTACAAGGGCAAATACTGAGAAGAAAAAAGATTTTATGTAGAAATTTATGTTATCAAACTTTACCTTTTCAAGTGGTACCCTTGTGATCTGTAACTCTCTTGTAGAGATATACGTCATTTGTTAGATTAATTCAAGTGGTTTAGAAAACCATCTTACTGCTTCACTCAACACATGGCCAGTTGATGATGAATTGAGAACCAATAAAATATGGTATGGATCTGGTGGATCCTATGTTATTGTTTGTTGTAGTCATACATTATGTACATTGGCAATAGTCTTCTAAAACTAACACGACTGATCAGAATTTCGAATGTAATGGTCAGTTTCAATAGTTTACAGTGGTAAGACTTTGAGTGTATAATGTAAAACTGCATTTTATCAGTAAAGGTGACAGTGTATCTGAGTCATACACTGAGGCATATACATAGTGTGTTGTTGTTTTTGTGTCAGCTGGTTCAGAGAAGAGGAATCCAAGGTACCTCCTATCTGACTGATTTTGATTTAATCTTGTACATACATGCTAAGGACTAAAATATCTGTTAAGACTGGATAATGACCGTCCTTTGCTGTATAGTCCATTTACAGATTCAGATTTCCATGAAATGTGGTCATGTTAGTCCTAATCATGAATATAATGTATATTAACTACCATATAACTCAGACGTCCAGTCAAATGGTAAAGGTCACAGAGGTAAATTTTGACATTTGGCATCTTTGCTTCTGAATTTCCCAAAAAATATCTACAAGCTTAGAGAAAATATATTTGACCTCTGACCTTGATCATTGACATGAACGTTCATCTTTGATTCTGATGAACATTATGATGTTCATCAAAGTCTGTAGTGTATGTAAATACATGTAACAATTCTCCTCTTTTACCTTCAACTTCGGCTTGTAGTCATGTTGCATTTGTTTTATTCTGTTTAACATTTAATTGCATACACTCAAAATGACCTTCCTGTTCTAGCAAACAAACGATCATGACAGATGTACTTTCTTTTTGTAAAATTGATGCAAAAGAAAACAGCAACAAGCATTGAGGTGAACTTGCTTTCATATTAAGAAATATCTGTAGATAGGATGGATTTATTTTAAAACATTTAGAATCCATCATTTACATTGGATTTAAATAAGTTGGACCAATATTTTAAACAAAATTGTAATATTAAATACATCATCATATATTTAGCCATCTACTGTCGTCCTTCATCCATTTTCTGATGCATGTCTTTCCAGCCTTTAAAATTCTTTGTACTTTCATAAGTTCTTGATGGATATTTCAATTTTAGATGCAGGTTTCCCTCCCTCCCAAGTGGTTCTTTCCCTGCCATGTGCTTCCCGTTTCTTGTGAACATGATAACTGTAGTGAATATGAACCGATTTTGATGAAACTAGGTATGCACCCTTATGTTAGTAGCATCTCAGATGAGTTAAAACAGTGGGACTGATTTGAAAATTTCTCCAAGAAGTATCTCTATTTTTCTTACACTGTCAAATCCAAGATGGTCGATCATTCGCCATTTTGTTGAAATGTCTTCTCCAGTACTCAAGCGATCTCTTTCAAACTTGTTAGCTTTAACTACCTTAAGATTAAGTTGTATGATCATGAACAGCACTCGACTCGACTGTATTTGGAAGCGTTACTCCCCTTTGTGTTTTAAAAATCTTAATCAAGACCGTTTTTTCTCCAACTCAAAATTCAGTGAAGTTTATCATCATCAGATGATATTATCTTTTCCTGAACATTCCACAATTTTTGGAGTAGATATTGGAAGGCTTTTCCTTCAGTTCTTAACCTATTTCTTTGAAACTTGGTAGGCTTTATGATGTATGAGATTGTGTTTTCATAAATGGCAATTTGAGCAATATTTGAAAGAGATGTCTTTTTGTTGGTAGGTTGGGTGGTTGCAGGTTTCCGTCTTCTTCATTCTTCCCATCTCAATGCATTGTCTCAACTTATTTTAAACTTGTTCATATATTTTTTTTCTGTTTTCAACCCAACTCTTAAAAACTAGGTTTGTTTTCTGATCGGAAAGTTTTCCTTTCTGGCATTTAAACTTGATATTTCCATTTCCACATATGTAACCATTTTGTCATAAAAATACATTTTTCTTTAGCATTAGGCAATTGTTTATTGTTCCACCTCATGGTACTCTAGTACAAGGCAACATAGGATGACCTATGACCTTTGATTGCTAGGAAACACAACCCCACCTCCTTGCCAAGGAGAGAACAATGGACCACACATGAAGTTTTTATCAAAGTTACCAAGTCTGATGTTGTTAAGAATAATATGTGTCTCTTATGGCATACAAAAACGTGAAAACATATTTTGTTTAAATATGTGATATTTAATCATCACCTCTCATCTTCCAGACAATTTATGTACACACAGCCATGATTCAAAAGAAATCACAATTTACAAGGACAAAATTTCCAACAGTTTCTTCAAAAGTTCAGCACAATGAACCATTATCAAAAAGGATCAAAGTCTAGGGATGTCACTTTGTTACACCTATATATTTGATTTTCACCATTCTGTCACAATGAAATTGATATATCTGAAGAAATCACATAATTTCAGTCTATTTTCATCATTTCTGTAACATGGAAAACAAGAGGACCAAGGGCCTTAATCGTCACCTAAGTTACAATGCTTCTTGTAACATGTCATAGAAATAAAGCTAATCGGAGTGAGTCCAACACAGAAGGTCCTGCTTTTTACCTAAATTTAATGACAGTGTTGTTAATATGTTTCAACTCCATCTCATAGTAAAGATTACTTTAACTACATTGTACACAGTGCAAATTGTGCATAACATAAACTGCTGTCCCATGCTAAGCTTCTAATCAAGATTGAATTAAAAGAAATTGAACTCAAAAACTGAATTTTCCTTCATTAAATCTTTCATCCATGAACAGTAACACATCTTTGAAATTTCAGTCAATCTGGGGGATTCAGCCGAGGTCAATATGTGAATCTCATTAAACTGTCATCTTATACTCATAATTTTAACCAAATTTGAACAATTTCCAAAAATGCAATAGAAAATAAAAATATTCCTAAATAAACCATTGTAAACTTTACCCCCTGCACACTCGGAAATGTGAGACCCTGGGGTCATGAAATTTACAATTTTGGTAAAGCATCTGAGGAAATTTTCGTCCATGAAGAGTATTTGATTCTACCATACCTTAGAATTTCAGACGATTTTTTAACTTTCAATTTGACCTTTTTGGTGACCTTTTTGGCCCCACCCCTCAAGCCCTGTGGGGTTTGGGACCATACAATTTACAATTTTGGTGTGCCTTCAGCCATGAAACAATTTTGTAAAATTTCACTGAAATTGGTTCAGGAGTTTTCCAGATGTCGAAGGAGTTTTCCAGATGTCAAAAATGTTGAAACGCACGATGACGGACAAAAAGTCATGATTGATAGGTGTATGACAGAAGTGAACGTCAAGACATCTTTCTCTATCTTTCCTCTTTTTTAGGCCCATGATGTATTTCATCATAATCCACACCTCGCCTTCCTCGAAATCTTGCCCTCATATCAATCTGTAATGAACATATATAAAAATCAAAGATCCAATATATATATTTTTTTACTAATTCCAAGAATGAAATAAAACTGTGATAACAGTATCTTTGAAACTGATGAATGCTTCCCAAAAACCAAATTTATTGACAAAAATTTTTAACAAAGGGCAGTTATTTTGTAATTAAGAGATTTCTGGCACATTATCTTATTTTAGTCCATGTATCCTGATCCTTTGTTAACTGTGGGCAAAGTCATGTTCCATACACAGACAAATACAATCAAAAGAATCAATTATACATGTAGGATGCTTTTTTACCTCTGTGAAAAAATAACTATCGATTGTTGTACACTGACAAGGAATAGCAGATTAAGGGCAAAAAATAAGATTTTATTCAGTTAAACTCACTTTTAACTCTTATTCCTTGACAAATTAACAGAGTTTTAGAGGGAAACTGATAAAGGTTGTGTTCGTCTCTTTATATGTGTTATGTTCACGTAATGACTGACAAGCAAACACTGTGGGTGCTTTCTTGTCTATAAATCTGGACATAAATGAGAGTGTAGTAAATAATTACCATTGATCTTTTACAAAGGAATAAGTCGTATTGATAATTGAAGCATATATCTGGAACTCTGGAGTGGTCCTTCATTTTCAGACATTGTTTTGGTGTATAACCATCCTGTCAATAAAAAAAAAATCATCTAATTATAAATAATATTCAATCAGTCCATATGTCATGGTAAAAAGCAGCACTAGCAGGTGAGGCTAGATATCAAAGAGGTAATACATTAGCATAATCAGAGATACCTGTACATATATTTATCTGACAATAAGCCCATGTCTGGTAATAAGTCCACCTACACCTAGTTCAGTTAAGAATAAATGCAAACAAATTATCTATATTGATGATAGCTCATTTTAAGCCCACTTCCTTTATAAGGCTTATATTAATTCAGAAAAAAAAAATTTTGTAAGCACACACTGCTTATTGTAGGAAATAAGCTAGTAGTCTACTGGGTTTATTGCTCTGTGAACAGCCAGCGCATGCCATTCAAAACAGTTGAGGTAAAGTTCTTGCCCAATGACACAACCACAATAGCACAGATCCATCTGTTTCTCAGCTTCCTGAGAAACAGAAACCCCCAACTGCAGGAAGCATCAAACCACACACAGTGGACTGGTCCTTCATGAGAGACATCAACCCCCATAGGTAAGGAACATTGCACCAAACACAAGATACAAGTATATAGTGTTTGACAGATCATGGGCCTTAATACATATGATATAAGCACTCTGCCATGCTAAGATGGGGTACAAAAACTTTTCTAATAAAACTTTCTTACACTATCACAATTCCATTCTTTTTAATATATTTACAGACTGCAAGCTGGTAGTTCAAGAATAAATTTTCTCTTTAGAATTTGAATGCTAAACCCCATCCCACCCCAAATACCTTTCAGTTTTGAGGTTGATACCCTAAACCTACTGCTCAAATAATTTTCAACTTTATTGTGTATCTTAAAAACAAGATGACTGATTTTTAATCACTCTTACCAGATTTACACATTTACTCGTTAGCAAACAATCTTGTAATAGCTGTCGCTGTTTTTCACATGATTTCTTTGGTTTTGAATCTGGATCACTATCCCCAAAAGGCCACATTGCACACTGGTATGTTTCAAACGGGACAGGAGGGTTTTGATGAAGAGAGTCTGCAATTCAAATAAGATTCAAGCAATTATCGGATACTAAAGCAGATATATTGTCTGGACATCGGTTCCACACCATTATGTATTTCAGAACGGCCCTTTTGTCAAAGCATATCACATGCACTATTGACCTGCATGGCCTTGCACCAAGATAATTTTGGTTGTTTTAACATGTCATGTCTCCAGAAAGAATATAAAATGGTGATTAAAGCCCTTCATCATAAAATATTCAGTGTTAATATTTCATTTCAAATTTGTTTATTTTTTCTTCATACACATTTTCACATGTCAAACATACTCCATGATATGATGAAATGACGGATCAATCCATCTTCGAATCCTTGGTTGTTGTCAACCATATGAATAAAAATCTGTCATGAATAAAAAGCCAAGCCAGCTTGCAATTTTGTCTATGAACATCCAAACATGCTCGTCTTATATTGAAAAAGTGGTGTTTTTTAAAGTATCACTTTTTATGGCACATTTCTTAACTTAATTAACTAGCGAACTGTAGACCGACCAATGCAAAATTCATTGTATTTAAAAAGTTTTTGTTATGAAAAGAAGTTTGCCAAGAAAAATGGTTTATTTGAGAGAAAAAAGAACACCAAACTAGTAAATGTCTGTAAGACATGAATGCCCCCGGCCCCCCATGTGAAATAATAGTGAAAGGTCCGAATGAAGTTGTTAGGTGGTATATACTGATTTGGGACGCGACGGGACGCGAAGGACATGGGCAACGCTAAATGCCCCCGCCATTTATGGCGGGGGGCATAAAAATAACAACTTTAACCCTTCAGAAAAGCTGCACACATTAACACAGATATACCTGCACACATCAACACAGATATACACCATTTTCGTACCATTTTGACTTTTTTTCTGTCATCAGAATATCATTTCCATTCAAACGATGATTTTATGTAATACATGTGTATTTCTGGGTCACTGTAATTTATCTTAAGCATCTCTGAGATTTATTGATGTCATCGGAAACGAAAGTAAAGTCGGTGATCACATCCGATACATATGTCGTTCATTTCAAGTGAGCGAATTGGCGGTCGGATATGTGGATATTTTACAGAAAATACTGGTTTTGTTTCACTAATCAGTTTTTTAAAAAACAAATCTTGTATTATGAACAAATTTTGATAAATTTTATGAATTTGTTTGGTGGCAATTCATTGACATTGTGTAGCTAGCGTGAAATGGTTCTTAAGGGGTCCGAAACTAATGCGCCATGGATATATATTAACATATTATTGACATAAAACCAACGATTCAACAAGTTTCTTGGGATTTAATACTTCTTAAAAGACATTCAATAACCTCATAAAATGTACACAATGATACGAAATTCACACCTATGGATGCATACAGCAAAGAGCAATGAACAGATGCATTCGGGGATACAAATTGAAACAGTGACCTTCGATAGACGATCTGCTCATGTGTATACCAGGCCTTTCATATATATATATATATCTCTGGCATAGATTTATTTCTTTATTAATAGCAAATGAAGAAAACGTACAAATCTTAGGTAATATAAGATTTGACAATGAAAACATAACGCGGACATCCCTTACGCAATTCACAGATCGACCGTTTTACTAAGCAAACATGTCAAAATTTGGGCCGAAATGTGTCACAATGCACTTTAATTCAAAATCAAAAGTATATATAGAGATAGAAAATAGAATGCTATTGATAAAGTAAATAGTTTTCTTGAAATAACTTACCTGTAGTTAGATCGACAGTTGCGCTGCAGTTGCTAGATCCTAAGCGCTGCCATTTTCTTCTCTCGGAAGTTTTGAAATACTGCGAAGTTAAAGGTAAAAGTCCGAGAACAGCCGAATTCGAAAAATAATTTGGACCAATGAAATAATCGTATTTAAAACAGCCCGTATTAATCCAAATATTTTGGAATGACAGCATGAGACGAGATATCCAAAAAGAACATCGGTAGTGTTTTATAAAGAAATCGGCAAAATGCCTGTAAGTTATGCGATTGTTTGCATGCTGATTGATGTTGCTTTAATTACAAAGCGTAGATGAATTGATACCATGGATAGGATATACTCCTGTAAAACATAAAGATGAGTGGTTGTGTGTTCGACTCTGCATGTCAAGGTGTCATGATCAAGAGACATAACATAAAACTCGATCAGTCACTGAAGGGTGGCTGAGAATCTCGATATTGAAATATTGCTTTGTTTGAAACTAGTTATGACATTTCTGAAATATATTCTTAAAGTAAATCAGTCTGCCTTGCAACTAAAATAATAGACTAAATGTCATAATTACATTTAGATATTTTTATAACTTCATCATTATGATGAAACTTTCAGTAGCTCAAGCCAAAGAAGTTATTAAGCAGATAACATTTGATTGCATATAATTATTTGTTTTGATAATTAAGATGTGTCAGTGATCATGGTACTCGATCTTGCATATAGAAGTGTACATGTAAATGACATGACCTCCCTACATATTTAATTAAGAAAGCAATCAAACGCAAGTGACTCTGGAACTGACTACATATGTAGTTCATACCCATTCCAATCTTTTCCCAGCTAGGCATTGCTAACACATACTTTTAAAAATGCTAAACCTGCACCTATTATTGTTAGAAGAATGGAATTCCTAATAGTTCTGTTGTTAATGTAACGTGTGACACATAGTACTCAATATTTATCAAACAAGATGGGGACATTGGACCCCTTTCCTTCTATATAGTTTAATTAATTTCATTGAAACTTTGCACATAATAGTGCAGGAAAGAGTCTATTTTTCAAAAAATCAAACAGCTTAGATATTCTGATACAGATAGTGGTATTCAACATGATGGTCTTATCAATATGTGGTACTTCAGAATTAATTCATCTTCAGAAGCAAGCAAAAATGAATGAAATAAATGAAAAAAGTCTGTACCTACTGTCCCTTATTTTTGTAGGGGAAAAAACAGGAAACTAAGACTTTTTAATTGTTTAGCTTTCTTTATTGATAATGAATTTTATTGTGTCATATAGAAATGTAAAAGTATAGACATTGGTTGTTCATCAGCATTTGTTGTAAGTTATATTGGTTTGACTAATTTTAATTATCTCCTGTGAAAAATAGTTTTGAGGAAAATTAAATTAGGTTCAGTCTGTCTGTCCATCTGTTAATGCATGAGAATTTTCCTGTGCCATTGCTCTGAAACTCTTCAAGATAACTTTTCCAAAAATTGTACTGTTATCCAGCTAAAAGCTTGTACTCTATTGAGAAGTTCTTTTTATTACCATGGAAAGGGATAAGACAAATTACAAATTTCAGTTGGCAAGAGCTTGACTACAAAACTGTTTAATATAAAACTACCTGAAACTTTGTAAAACTGTCCAGCTAGCATCATGGTGTGCTTTTTGCTGTAAAGAAGTTCTTGATTTGAAAACTTTTCCTATTACCATAAATCAATTATAGATATATATATTACAAATTTTATTTTTCCAGACCATTCTTTTTCGGTGAAGAGACAAACATGTACATGTAGCATACATAGGTTGTTAACCATTGGATCTGATCCAACAAATTTCATCTATAAATAGCTATTATGTCTTGTAACCATATAATAGTGAAGTTATATTTAGATATTACTCTATTATTCAATAGCATATAAATGTGTTTTATAGCTGTTTGTCAAGATAGATAGATGACATGAAAACATGTCCCCATACTTGTAAAGAATGCAACTTAGAATGTATCCTTGATACTCCATGGGTTACCATTATGCTCACTCTCTGCACCTAGTTTGATCCTTTGATTCATTTCAAACAAATCTCGAGATTGCATATTGTAATGGCTTTTAAAGTTGGGTGTCGTTCCTTTGTAATCTCTATATGGAATGTATCAGCCTGTATTTGGTCATTTTTTCTTTCCTGGAACCAATAAAATCACTTCGCTCGTGCCTTCAATTTTGCCATGACATGTTCCAGGGGTGCAGAGAGCAAAGATGATTGTAGCCCCTGGAGCAATGAGGATGCCTAGAATGTAGGAAAAAATATATAAGCTTAAAAATTAAGTCAACTTAAAAGTACAAATGTATAAGTTGCGAAAGTTACTTTGTGAAATCCCAAATAAAAAAACTTCCACCTTTGTTGATTTAAAAAGTTCAGGAAGTATTCGTGTGGTCATATGATGATAATGTTATTTTATTTTGTAGAGTTGAGAGGACTTTACTGATTGAAATATTTTTGAAGTTGTTGAAAGTTTTTCAAATACTCTATATTGCTGGACCATTTGACCATGTTTCATGTGGTTAGGACACATACTTGCCTGAAGTATCACATATGTAAAATCACTTACTTGTCTTTGATGATATTAATAGCCATCATAAATTATTAAATACAACTTGCTGTAACAATTATTGTTTTGTATTGCAGGAGAAGAAAAGCGCTGCAGATACAGACAATGTACAGGTGTGTGTCCGCTGTAGACCCCTCAATGGAACAGAAGAAAAACAGGGATGTGTGATGTGTGTAAATGTAAGTATATATCAGTGATGGAGATCTGCTATAGAGTTTTTATTTCCATTCTTATGGTTTAATGATTTCAAGTATTGATATTCAAATTACACTATATCCATAGTCCATCTATCTGTAAACAATTTTTATTATAGCTATTTCTTGAGAAGTACTTGATTGACCTTTCTGAAATTTCATACATAGGTTCCCCTTTGTCCCTAGTTGTGCCCGTTTGAGTTTGGGACCAATCAGAAAAAAAAATGGCTGACATGTGGCCATCTTGGATTTTTTCAATGATGATTGTTATTATTCTTACTTGAAAAGTACTTGATGGATCTTGCTCAAATTTTACACGTGGGTTCCCCTTGGTATCTAGTTGTGCAATCTATTTTTGGGACTGATCAGGGAAAAAATGGCAGACCGGTTGCCATCTTGGATTTTAACTTTGTAAGCTTATTGTCACTATTTCTTGAGAAGTACTTAGTGGATCTCTCTCTCAAATTTCTTATTTAGATTCCCCTTTGTCCCTAGATGTGTGCCCATTCAATTTTGGGACAGTTTAGAAAAACAAAATGGCCAACAGACGACTGTCTTTGATTTGGACGTTGCAAGTTTGTTGTTGCTATTTCTTGAGAAGTACAGGATTGATCTTGCTTAAATTGTATATGCAGGTTCCCCATGATCCCTAATTGTGCATGTTTGATTTTGGGACTAATCAGAAAGAAAAATGGCCGACTGGTGGCCATCTTGGATTTCGCCAAGTAAAGTTTGTTATTGCTATTTCTTGAAAGTACTCAATGGCTCTCTCTCAGATTTCATTTATATGTTTCCCTATGTGCCTAGTTGTGCACAGGTGATTTTTGGACTGATCAGAAAAACAAAATGGCTTCCAGACAGCTTTCTTGGATTTTCACCATGAAAGCTTGTTATCACTATTTCTGGAGAATCAGTGTATAGATCTTTCTCAAATTTCAAGTCTCTGGTTGCTCTCATTTGATTTTGAGTCTGTTCAGAAAAAGAAAATGGTAGACATGTGGCCATCTTAAATTCTCACTTAGAAAGTTTGTTATTGCTATTTCTTGAAAACTACATCATAGATTTTTCTCAAATTTCATGTGTATGTTTCCCTTGATCCCTATTTGTGCCTGTTAAACAGATCCAACTTTCAAAGAACAAATAAAGATGAAAAAAATGGTGGGCGTTAAGGTCCCTCTGAAGTCTCTTGTATTTAATCATATAATTAGCAATGGTAAAATCATAATGTAATTTCTTCTTTTTTCTGCAGTCAATGGCATTTATTGGTATATATTTTCATGATTGGTTGATAAATGCTGAATTTTTAGGTTGATGAAGTGAGAGGATGTGTGACTGTCAAAAATCCTACTGCCACACAAGGAGAGCCACCTAAGACCTTCACCTTCGACACAGTGTTCGCTCCCAACTGTAAACAGGTTGATGTGTACAACAAGACAGCAAGACCAATTGTGGACTGTGTACTAGAGGGATACAATGGTATTTAACTGAATCTAACTCACTTATAGTTAAGATCTTTTGAATTAAGATATATATAGTTGTTTATATCATTTCTATGGGGGAGGGGGGGATTTGGAAATCAAATCTGAAAATAACCTCCATGATGTACACTACCGTCCATTCTCTGTAACAAATAGTATGATATAATCAACATTTAGGAGGTTTCCTCCATATCAACATACTTTATGCTTATCTTTACACTAAGTGGATCCTGGCATTTGGAAAGGAATCTCTAAAATTATGTTTGCAGTAGAAAAAGGACATTGTGAATATTAAATCCTTTGGAAAAATGGTTAGTTTGAAGTCTTCTGTAAAATTAACTTTATTTTAATTTTTGAGAATTCATATGCTTTCAGGCACCATCTTTGCATATGGACAAACAGGAACTGGGAAAACCTTTACCATGGAGGGTGTGCGTACTGTACCAGAGCTTAGGGGAATCATACCCAATTCCTTTGCTCATATTTTTGGTCATATTGCCAAAGCTGAGGGTGACACAAGGTAAATAATGTTACAGTTATATGTTAAAAACTTTCATTTGCATGACACATGGAGCTGATAGACTTTAATTCAGAGTTCAGGGGGAAACTTTTTACCAAGAAAAAATTGTTTTGACCTTGACATGTGCACCTGGTAGATATTCAATAAAACCCGAGAACATATCTCTTTAATATGCTGGGAACCAGTATCTATCTCCCTAGATGTGTGCACATTGATCCCAAGATGTGTATATTTTATTTTAATTTCAAAGAAAAGAAAAATTGCACAATTATGTTGCAATTATCTCTCTAGGATCTATTGTTTAGCCCACTTGGCATTGGTATAACACGTCATCTGTCTCTGAACTTGTTAAACTTCAATATACCCTAGTCACTGTTCATTTTTGTGATAGCTTAAATCAACCAAAGTTTCAACATTTTAATTCCACCTGTATGTTCATTTAGACCTACCTACCTTAGACAAGCAAATGCATCATGTTTTAATGTTCAAGGCCACTTTTTGAAATTTAAGTCTCACCCAAATTTTGTCATAAATGCAAGTTAATAGTGTCATCGGGATAGATTATTTTCACACTTCTTTAAGTTTTGTTCTGATAATAATTTATTCCTTTATTTCAATACATCATGCAGAGCATCTTTGAGTGCTCTCAGTACTTCGATTTTTTTGAGCTAATGTTGTCCATATTTTTGTTATGGATTATGACACTCTTGCACTGTGCACAATGTCTTGTACATGTAGTTCAACTAACAATAAACATATTGGAAAAGTCTGACATCATACTATATACTGATACCATTATGGAGAATATGTAGAAATGTCACATTTCATTTTACAGATTCTTAGTGAGGGTATCTTACTTGGAGATCTATAATGAGGAAGTACGAGATTTGCTCGGCAAGGACCAGCATCAGAAACTAGAGGTAAGAATATGTCGTCAGTTAATCATGATGTGGTCATCTTGAATTAATTCTACAATCAACAACAGGTTTAACATACCTGAGAAAATTGCTATTGTAATGCTAACCAAGGACAGAGACACCAATTTGGTTGAATTACATCTGTGAAACAAAAGGTGTGTTAGATTCCTAGTGTTAACTTGACATGTCATTTTTATACCCCGCCGGAGGCGGTCATATATTGGCGTCATCTTCTCCGTCCGTCCGTACGTCCATTTCTTGTGAACGCAACTCCTCCATAAATAATCATCAGATTTTCATGAAACTTGCTGAATGTCACTTTTACAATGAGTAGAGGTGCATGAAGGCACGATTTTACGGTTCATTGATTTTTGTAAGATTTATATATTTTGTGGCGGCGTATATTGTGTCCACGGCACTCTTGTTCATTTTAGGTGAAGGAGAGACCAGATGTTGGAGTGTACGTCAAAGATCTATCCAACTTTGTGGTCAACAATGCTGATGACATGGACAGAATTATGACTGTCGGAAACAAGAACAGTAAGTCTGTAATGGTGATTTAGAGCTAGCTTCTGGTATCTCAGAATACTGTTGGTACAGCTACATCTAGAGACAAAGACATGGGTTACTCCCGTGGTAATTTGCTGTGGTTTTTACATCCAAAAGTAGTGATTTACCCTTTCATGTGTCAGAGATCTTTTCATGACTGAAAAATGTTATGAAAGATGAGGACCACTGCTGGTAAAGTCTAACTGGTTAATATGATGAAAATGCCTACATATATATTTTGAGGTATTTGAATTATTATTTTAGGGGTTGTTGGGGCCACCAACATGAACTTGCACAGTTCTCGTTCCCACGCCATCTTCACAGTGACCATTGAGTGCAGTGAGAAAGGACCAGATGGCAAGCAGCATGTGCGTGCTGGCAAACTCCATCTTGTTGATCTTGCTGTAAGTCACTATATATATTCCAGTAAAAATCGTTGAATCAATAATAAAAAATGCAAGATCACTCAATGGCAGTTCTGGTCCAGTTCAGCAGAGGAAGAAATATCAAGCTATTTATTGTCTTGTCATATTTTAATTAAAGGCATTCTACAAATAAGAAAATAGAAGAAATTGCATTCAATACAATTTTTGTATGTGGATAAAATCTGAGATAACTCATTGACATTCATTGGGTTATTCAAATCGTAAAGATTTATTTTGATACCAAAACCTGCATTGATTGAGTATATGTGTGTGTTAGGGATCAGAGCGACAAGCAAAGACTGGAGCTACAGGACAACGACTAAAAGAAGCTACAAAGATCAATTTGTCTCTGTCAACACTCGGCAACGTTATCTCTTCCCTGGTTGATGGAAAGAGTACTCACATTCCATATAGAAACTCCAAACTCACCCGGCTGTTGCAGGATTCTCTTGGTGGCAACTCCAAAACTGCTATGGTATATAATATCTTCCATCAATTTTTGTCATCTGGTATAGAATAACTTCATCTCAGGTTTGAATGTCAGGAAAGTTTTTTTTTTGGGCGTTAATTTTTAGAATAAGACGCCACTTTTTATCATTAATCTAGTAAGTTGTGTCCTAATTTCAAAATCATTATTTGAATTGAAGATATTAGATGATTAGTGTTTTATAATTGTAAAATAGCATTGAAAGCCCACTATCTCAAACTAAAATTCTGTTATCCCATATCAATTAATGAATATCGTTTATATTTTTAAGACAACATTGTTAGATGATAGTCTCAATTTTAGTGAAAGCAATTACAAATATGTCTTTAGTAATAACAGTGTGATGGTCCAATTCAGGTACTGAAGCACAGAAGAGATTAAAAAAGTGGAGATAAATAATTTTTTTGTCAAAATACAAATATGAAACAATTATATGTAAGACAGTATTTTTTGGCTTTTTGCTTCCTTCTCAAAACAGACAATGTATATCACTGAGGAACAACACCTTTGATATTTGCAATAATTTTAGAAGACAAACATGGTTTTAGCATCAATTTGAAACATTTGTTTTAAAATCTTATTTTACCAAATTACAAGAATTTAGATAATAGCCATCTTTATAATAAAATTTGTGATCACATGCTATTTAGCCACTGAAAGAGAATTAGGTTTTGAGGTGTTAAATTTTCTAATTCCATTTTAATTGAGAATTTTAGTCCCGACATGGAAATAATTATTTTTTTAACTTGGTTATCCAGGTTGCTAATATAGGGCCTGCAGATTACAACTATGATGAATCTATCAGCACTCTGCGTTATGCTAACCGTGCCAAGAACATAAAGAACAGTGCTAAGATCAATGAGGACCCCAAGGACGCCTTGCTGAGGCAGTTTCAAAAGGAGATTGAAGAGCTCCGGAGACAACTGGCAGAGGGTAGGTATTAAAAATGGAGCCATTTATATATATATATATATCATACTGGTGAAAATAACCCAGGAAATCTAGATAATCTTTCTTACTTACAATTACAAATCTAAGCAGTCATGTCAGTATTATATCAGCTTTTAATATAACTTGCATCAATTTTTTCTACAGCGCTGTTTTGTGGTAAAGGAATTTGTCATCTTGCAGTATCAATTTCTGTACTACCAAGGCTTGTAGTATAATTGTACATTTACTGAATTTGTTGCAATCAAATTTTAGTTCATTATCATTCTTGGGCAATGAGAAGTTCACGCATCCATAATAATTACTGCATGAGCAGCTTAAAGTTACTGCAATTAGTGCTATCGTATTTTAGTGCAATAGGGCTTAAATAAATACAACTGAAATATATAGCTTTACTGTCATTGAAATTTCACTATCATAATGAGTAAGAACTAGGTCTCCCATGTCATTAGGTTTGAGTATCCTCTTCCTTCAACAAACAGAGCAATTATTTGAAACATTTAGAAGTTTAATATTCCTGGTTATGTGGAGTTTTACACATTTGATAATTATTTGATATAGGAAACAAGTACATATTATAAACCCTACATAACAATTGTTTCAGGTTCTGATTATGAGGGTAGTGGAAGTGAGGAAGAATCAAGTGACGAGGAAGGGGAGCCCGGGGAAGGTGGAACAAGAAGAAGGAAAGGAAAGAAAAAGAGAGGTATTTATTCAGTCATGACTTGGTGCTCTTTGAACTGGATATGTTGCACATTTATATCATTCAGTACCTTTCTTACAAACCCTTTCTTCCAGCAAAAGTTTTGTAATGTAGGATATTGCGATGATGCTTTTGTGACAAGATTTTTAGGGGTATGACAGATTTATCAGTAGTTTAATCTGTTTGGATTCAAGGTTAAAATTGGTTACTACCTGTCGTAAAAATCAGCTATTCTGACCAAAGTTTAAAAACAATTTTATAAAACCAGTATAAGTGTTGAGAGGAAAGTGAAGTAAGACCTGTTTGATGCCTCAAATTTTTGGTCAGCAAAGTTTGTAATAAACCTTATGAATATTTGATCAACCAAAACAATCTTTTTAAAACAATGTTTTAGGTGCCGGTGGAGCAGGAGGTAGTCAAAAGAAAATCTCAAAAGAGAAAATGGCTGAGATCCAGGCAAAGATTGAGGAGGATCGAAAGATGTTGGAGGATAAAAAAGATATGGCAGAGGAAGACAGAAACAAAGTGAAGGAAGACCTTGAAGTAAAGGAGGCTGAATTAAAAAAGTTCCAGTATGTAATTTTCCACAGGTTTATGGTGTTCTGTTCGTAGATTTCATGTCTCAGTAGATAGGTCTTTAACAGTACATTATGTGAATTAGTTGCATCGTCTGTGTATAGAACTACTCTAGAATAGTTGTTATACATCTCACTTCTGTTGAAATAAACAAGCATTCATAATCATTTTGAAAGCAATTGATCTTAGACAATTTACAGAATAATGGTGTTTATGATAATTTCGAATGGAAACTGAATTGTGACCGCTGAATATAGTGAAATATTTTCTACTTCAATACAATAACAAATGCCTTGATGAATTCTACAAAAAGTGATCTGTTTCCCTCTGCCTAAAGAAACCAAACTACTTTGTACTTAGTGATGTTATACTTTGATCATTGTCACTTTTTTTAATTATTATGTCATGAATGTATTTGCTCTATTTCACTCACCAAGTGAACTCCCTAGTATCCGCATTCTGTAGGAAGTCTTTTTACAAGACTTCAAATTTAAATTTTGCCAAATATTTTGGCCTTGTCTTAGAGAATGGTTGAAAACTTGACAAATTCATTTTCTTTATTGGAATATAAAGGTTGAGAAATTTGTACTATTAAAAGGTGGGTTTCCTTATTTACTTGAATTCAGAGATGAACAAGACCAGTTGACCCAGAAGTTGGCTGCCATTGAGAAGAAGATCATTGTTGGTGGGGAGAATCTGCTGGAGAAGGCTGAGGAGCAGGAGAGGATGTTAGAGGAGAGTGCCATGGAGCTGGAGGAACGCAAGGTCAAGGAGGAGGAACTGAGAAAAGCACTACTTGAGAAAGAGGTAGAGGAAAGTTTGTGTAGATAAGGTTAAAATGTGTTTCAAATTCTCCATCAGCTATTTATTAAGAAATAACACTGTTTAAGCCATGTTATCTCTTGTTGTACATATTATGTTTTTTGTTTTTCAGCAAGAAAGACTTGATATCGAAGAAAAATATTCCAACTTGCAAGAAGAAATCACAGGCAAAACCAAGAAGTTAAAGAAAGTTTGGACAATGCTTATGCAAGCAAAATCTGAAGTACTAATTCCTTTTTTTGTATACTGATTACTATGATTTTATTAGGATACTTTTATGATCTTGTGATGTAGTGGTCTTATGATGTGACTCATCTTTTCTTTGTATCCATTAGATACCTTTTAACATTCTTAGATTCATTTTTTTATATCTTGAAAAATTACTATTTTAACAGATTCATCTTCCACAAAATATTTGATACTGAACAGTCATGAATCCAAATTGATCTAGAAAAGATATTTTCTGGGTATTTATTTTAACATAGGAATGTCATACAATAACTAAAGAACTACTCTCATAATCTGATGAATTGCTCTGGTGATTTCATAGTCAGTCATAACAAATGCATTGTTATGCATGAATGGTAGTATTAAGTCCTTTGCCATGCTTTAAGGATTCGTTTGTCTTTTCCAGATCGCTGATTTACAACAAGAGCACCAACGTGAGATGGAAGGCCTATTAGAAAATGTCCGCCAGTTAAGTCGTGAACTTAAATTACAGATGACCTTAATTGACAGCTTTATACCTGCAGAGTACCAGGTAAAAGTCACCACATGTGAATAAATATGATGGAAAACAGTTTTCCAATTAATGTTTTTCATTTGTCATATTAAAGATGTTGGCATATCTTTTAGCAAAGAAATATGCTTTCATTGATCTGCAATGATTTATCACTTACAAAGTATTCATAGGGCTTCTCACTACTGAAGACACCTATGTTTTGCAGCTTGGAGCATTTTCTGAAAACACCTCTATGGTGCTCATTAGTGTATTACAATGTATGCCATCCTTATATGTTACAGGAGATGATCGAGGACCATGTCCACTGGAATGATGACATTGGGGAGTGGCAGTTGAAGTGTGTAGCTTACACTGGAAACAATATGAGGAAACAAACACCCCAGCCAGACAAAGAAAAGGACCGGGTAAGTACAGGGCCAAATAATGATTAGAATTTCCAGGTTTTTGATATTCACATTACATGTACCATAGGACAGGTATTACAAATTTGGCATGATCATCTGTCTGTGACAATATATTGAAATACCTCACTCTTCTTAAGGGATGAAATATTTTGAACCCAGGTATTTCTGCTGCATTTTCTTTAATTGTGACTCTCTCTCTCTCTCTCTCTCTCTCTCTCTCTCTCTCTCTCTCTCTCTCTCTCTCTCTCTCTCTCTCTCTCATTGCATATGACTGTCAGCTAAAAAAATGGAATTTTATTGTCATCTCTTAAACACATTAATGGTTATTATCCCCCAAGAAATGCATTTGAGGGGGCTATTAATTTGGGCACTGTCTGTCCATCCATTTGAGGATTTTCTGGGCTGTAACTTCAAATCTGTTCAACTCAACTTCACAAAACTTGCTGTATCTATTAAGTTAGTGCCTTAGTAGTGCCTTTGTCTTATTAATGACATTTGATTATTTTTTAAAAGAAATTCTGTTTCCATTGTAAAATGGTCAAAAAACACAAAATTAGTGTTAATGTTCTTTTTCGTGCTACAACTTAAAAACAATTCCACAAAACTTTCTGTATATATAAGGATAGAACCCTAGTAGTGCCTTTATCTATTGAGGACATTTGATTATTTATCTTTTTTCTGTTACCATCAATTTTTTTGATTTCTTGTGATTTCTTGTATAACTCTAGAGCTTATAGAGTGTTGCATAAATTTGCTTTAGGACAATACCAAGCTCTATTCAAATATCAACAGTCAAACACACAGGATCTACATCAAGATATAAACTTTACTATAAGGTTGATATATAAGATATATAAAATGTTGAAGTTGAGGAGATGCAAGAAAATTGAACTGATAATTGACAAAAGAAGATGTTACATTTTGCACTAGCACTTTTAGATCTTCAGGTTATAGTAGTGGTACATAATTGAGTGTTGTAACAAATCGTTACACTGGTATATATATTTGGGTTTACACGAACAGCTGGGTGAGGGGGGTAATGCCATGCTTTGCGGCTCCTTGTCAATCATGTTGTTTCCATAATAGTTCCAGGAGCCAGATCTATCCAACGTCTACCTCGCTTACACTGCTGAGGGGGCAGAGCAGGCCTTGCGACCTAAATCATCCAAGGCGTCACGCCCGAAGTCTGGACGACCTAAGACAGGCAACCGGCCCAAGAGCTCAAAGAAGTAAGTTTTTTTTCTACACTTATAATTAATCTGTTGTTGGATTCTGTCACAGACTAAGCATCTGTTTGTGCACTGGTAATGAATTAAATTATCTCTTATTTTTTGTAGATATCCATCAGTTTAAAGATGATATTTTGCGTGGGTCAAAATTTAAAAAAAACCAAATGACATCTGAAGGAATTTTGAGATCAGGATGTAAAAGAACATCAAAATACACTTTTGTCTCGTTATTTCATGGATTGAATTTTCACAATCACATTGATGTACAGCAAAATAGTAAAAAAAATTGTCCCTGCAAAAATAAGTGACCATACAGTGTTTTTAATGTTTCAGGTTAAAGATTTTAAAGCAATACTTACCTTCTCTTTTGCAGGAAGAAGCCAGATCCAAGTATAGATTCAGTGTTACAGTGACTATACACGGCTGCTGTTGTGTTCTTTATATTAAAACTTTTTATGTTTGTGCAACACTTCTCTACTGTTCTGAAGTGGGTAGTGAGCTGAAGCATTTGTAACGACTTGAAGAAAATATTCAAGATGAGGGTAGATACCATTGTCATATCATCAAACTTGCGTTGTGATTACCAGAAGGTTGTCATTCTTTCATGTTTAGAGATTGAATTTGATTTTTGAATTGACACATTAAGTATTTAAATGATCAAATATATATCAGCGACAATTTCCAAGCAATGTTTCTTTATTGAAGACTGTCCATATACGGTAATTATGTAGAGAAAAACAAATGTTACATGATACAGTGTTAAATTGTACTTTCAAATAAAAAATACTATTCTCTTAATAGAAAAATATGATAATTTCTCTCTAGGTGAATGAGAAAAAGGATTAAATGTGTTGTTTTGTCACGGAAAATATGGCTTGACTATTATGTCTACACAAAAAAATTTTTTTTCCTATTTATCTTTATTATGCACAATGCAATACAGGGTTTTCAAACCGTTGACTACTGTGAAATATACGAGTGCTTTCAATGTAAATTTTGAATTTAATCTCTGGATCTTTTTGCTTAAAAATATTATACAAAATGGCATATTTACATTTAACTTTCCAGTGGATTCTTTTTTACATGCAAGATAAGAAAACAATGGAAATGTACTGGGTGCTATTCCATTGTTAGTTTTCAAACCAAATTAATCGCTAATTATTACCCATGTAATGTCTAGTAGCATTTGATATCAATCAATTTCTGTACTTTGATATTACAATATGTCTTTATTAATGTATATGATTGATGTGGCATATGATTGATGTGGGAGAGATTTAACAATATGTATATCCCAGGTTTGTGGGATATACTTGTAGTATGATTTATGTTTTGATTCGTTGTTAGTGATAAGTCCTGTCTCATGGTGTTTAAACTTTCTGATCTGTAATACCTCAGACTAGTTTGTTACTAATTGTCAAATCGCATTAGTATCAATATTGAAATATCCATTTATGTTGCATAATTTATTTTATGTAAGTTGGAAAATGATTTTCATTATAAAGTATGAAAGATTTAAATTATAATATTGTATAAATATTGTATGTAGTAATGGTTATTATTTTATGCCTGTTGCAGTTTGTATTACATAATGTTACATCAAGACAAATTGAACCCACCCAGTATGGTTTCTCAAAAGTAGAATCTTTTTATTCTAATATCTTATTCAAGGTTGTGTTTGAAATTGTTTGGTATGTTCCTGTATGAATTAATGTGGGATTAACTTGTTGTTTATTAGAAATTATTTGTTATCACTGTGTCTGGGTAAATACTGGTTAACGTTATATCTTCCAGTACTAAAAGACTTAGCAGTACTAGAAATAACCCCATGTAGTTACTCCATTAATTTGAACATGTACTGTGTGTTAAAAACCTGACAATCTTTGAATTGTCGTTGATTTTGTTTTCTTTGTTTAGTTATTTCACAATTTTTTGATGCCCACATATCATATGTGTACACAATCTGTATTTGGCAAGGATCGCAAAATTGTTCAGGGATACACTCAGCAGGTTGTGTGTTTAAGGTATTAAATTAAGTGTTTATAATTGTGACCTTTGTTATGAAGTAGTATGTCTGCTGACACATCTTAATCAATATGTTTTACCTATGATTCGTGTAAGAGTTATGTCCCTTGAAACCCACTAGAGCTGCTTTCGCGAGAGTTATGCCACTTTAAAAATGATGCGAAACAGTCCAAGCAACAAGGAAATACTCTGTATTCTACGATAAATGGAACCCATACTGGATTTTGGAAATATTTTGTTAGGATCACATGTTGTTTCAGGATCTTTTATGAGATTTTTTTTTCAAACCCAAAGATTTTGTGACCTTTTTTGTTGCAAATATGTGATAGAAATTTGTATTTCCATTTTCAATACCTGCATTTGAATTACAATTCTATTACTCATAGCAGTCATCATAACATAGCTGTCACTTAAATGCAGGGCCATTACCATAAAGAGGAGTGTGCCCAACCTTGCTTGCATCAGATTACATATTTTTCATTGTTTTTTTTTTTTGTTTTATGGAGTCTTTCTGTCTTAAGTTTCCAGTATTATTCCTGCTGCATAACATTTAATAGAAACGTCCATTAATGATTTTTAACACTGATAAATTAAGATCAAGGTCAAATATTATTTAAAATATTGGAGTATATTGATGTTTCAACTACTAGCAGCGAATATTAGAACTGAAGATACTATAAAAATACATAGGTATATAGGGAGGATTTATTTGATGTATTTATAGATTTTACTGGTATTCAGTATAGGACATATTAGATCTGATTCTTAAAATCTGAGACCTATCTTGTTTGATAGTTTGTGGCTATAGTTTATCATTTTTCTTATTTTTATTTATTTTTGTTGCCAAATTCAATGATTCCATCCATTCTACAAATTTTTTATAATTTTATTTCTTTTTTTTTCTGTCTTATTTCTGCTGTGTAGATGTCTTTGTCATTGATAATTTAAATGTTACTGAATATACTGCTTGTCATCCTTTTCAGGCATTGGTAACTGATGTTTGTTATTCCTGTAAGACTGAAATGTGTCGTTTCATTTCTAATAAATTCATTCAAAAATTTCTTTTTTGTTTCACACTGTTTGATGACATGTCACATTTCCATAATGGTATCTGTCCACTTCTGACGTCCAATCCGATCACATTATACTGACAATTTGCTTAGTTGTCCTAATGCATCACTTTCAATGTTGAACAACAAACAGGGAGCAGAAGAACCTTGCAAGGAACATAAACCATATAGTCTTCCTCGTTTGGTCGGCACTCAACTGAAACGCCCTAATTGAGACAGTGTTAAAAGAGAAAGAAAGGAAGATCTTTAGGAAAAGGAGAAAATAAATCAAGACCCTTAACTTAGTTTCCTATGATTATTCAATGAGAGCAGTCTACACATTTACTACGCCATACCAGCAGAGGAAGTGATCTTCTAGGCCTGTCAAACAAGGGGAAACAAAGACCATCAACTAGTGATCTCTTGGCCCTACACGTACATGTATGGTGAAATGCATTGAAAAGTGATATACTATACGATTCTCATGGAAAAAACAAATTCTTGGAAAGTTTACACACTAATATAAGTACCTTCAATACAAGATAAGATCAGCCAGTCGTCATCAAAATCCTTGACATTATTTGGTGAAGGAAGGTTCAAATCGACAGACAATGCATAATTCAGATGATCTAGTATTTTCATCAACTGAAAATCAAAGGGATACACCGTCGAATCTAAGACACTAAAACCTTCTATACGATAATTAACTCCAATAGGGTTTTGCTTTTGTTATTTTCATAAGTTCTCGAATTAATGTGTCCATGAAAGGATAAACAGTTGACAATTTAACAGGTTTTATTCTTCAAAGTGGTGATAAAAAAAACCGACATGTTAACGGAATCAAAATTCAAACACAAATTCGATGAAACAAGGCAAATGATAATAAAAGAAAGATTTATACGAGATTACCGGAAAAATTCAGGTGTTCCGGGAGGGCAAGCGTCTACTGTTTTATCGACGACACCCCATGTAAATCTTGGTCGATTCAAGTAGGTATTGACAGGTTCCCATGCTAGAACAAGGTATAAATAATGGAACCACGAGGTATACAAGCGAGCATCACACGTCCTGCTTCATTCGCAAAATTGAGATAATCAAGCTTATAATACAGGTTGAAGGAAAGCTGTACCTGTCCGTTTTGTTACAGGAAAATACTGAGGTAAGCGAAACAAGATCCTAACAAAATACATAAGGTTTTATATGGAACATTGCAAGTAAATAAAGTGAATATTACAAGGATTGTTAGATATTATTATTTATTAAAACAAGAACATACAGGTATAAAGTTCTGTAAACAGTGCAATTCATCAAATGTATTTCATTCAGAGGACGAAAGTTGCGATCGCATGACCAGGCATCTGATACGTATACGATCGGCCGTTGTTGTCCACTTGTATTGTGACATCATGAGAGTTTGAATCAGAATTCTGAACCAGCACGGCGACGGATCCATCAGGGTTCTGGAAGGCTACAGTGTTAATGTTCTGACTCGTATTGGAGTCTATCCTGACCGCCCCAGGTTTGACGAACTTGCTAAGATGACCGATAAGGTAGAATTCTACTTCCTTGGTGTACCCCCCGCGTGACTGCACTGTGAGCGCGCCTCTACACGTCTTGCAGCCTCCAGCCGTTTCCACGTGCGGTCCATGGTTTTCATCCAGTGCAAGATTCCACAGTAAGACAGTCTTCGTCCATGCGCGAGGCTGGGCGATGAATAATGTCTCGGCATTCCACATTAAGTTTCCGCTGAAATCATTAGCCCATGTGCCACCCGAACATTCGGAGAAGTACATATCAAATGACGGTTGTCTGTTATGTAGCTGAAGCGGCGCGTTCTTGTCTCCAGCGTAGCAATGCCATGCCACTCCCGATACATATTGACTTGTCTCGTGGTCATTTAAAATATTATTTGCGTAGTCGATATTGTCCCAGTTGTGGTCATACAGCAAGATCTTTGTATTGATGTTATTTGATCGGAACACTGGACCTAGGTGGTGCTTAACGAACTCACTTTCCTGTTGCCACGACATCTCCATGGTAGGATATTGGTTATTACCGTTAAGCGGTTCGTTCTGAACTGTAACTGCGGTGATGTGAATTCCTTCATTTTGATATGCCTGTACAAACTTCAGAAAATATTTAGCGTAAGCGTCATTGATGTTGTTGTCCCGCTTCAGTTGACCTCCCTGGAGTTTGTTACTGGTTTTCATCCACGCCGGAGCAGTCCATGGAGTTCCCATTACCTTCAAACCTGGGTTTACTCTGAGTGCTTTCTTGATGACGGGGATGATGAACTGGCGATCCTTCTCTATACTAAAGTGGTCGAGGTTGAAATCGTATGGGGTGTCGGCGTACGTGTATGGCGCTTCAGCCTGAATGTCTGATGCTCCCATCGGCAGTCTAATGTAGCTGATACCTGTAATACGAAATCTGTATTACTTCTGTGGAAAACGTTCGAAATACTGATGGATGTTTATAAACTGTCATCTAGATTTACGTCATATAATCATGTCGAACAAACTAACAGAAGCGCTAGGCTTAATTCGAGGATTGAGGAGGCTACTCACTGAAAACAGACATACTGTCAAAGGAAACCTAACCTGAACTCAAAGTCCATGAAACGTGGGTAAGCAATGAAAATACAGATTCACATGGTTCAAGTCTAGGCGAAGGGTAAGCTGAGGTTCTAACGTTCAAATACGGAGATTACACAAAATATATGCAGACGTAACGTTTTGTACTTAATATTAGAGGCGTTTAAGTATCCAGTTACTTTACTATCATTATTACGTGTACCATCATAAAACAGATAACAAATATATTCGAAATGTATTTGAAAAGTCATCCGAGCAAAAACATGCTCCTTGTTGCCAATTTCAATAGGCGATATCGCCCTGACAGAATCCAACAGGGAACTTTCGTGATAGTTTGGACCTAACATAACGTCTGACGAGTTTTTCTTTGTTAAGTTTTACAGCAAAGTATAAGTTCTTGTAGTCTTTAGTGGAACGGTTAAGAATATACACACGTATTCGACGTTCTTCTAAAATTACCAAATGCATTTTAAAAAAATTTACTGACTTATGGGCCTAGTATACCATTCCATCTAAATTCTGACTTATCTTTCGTTCACTTAGGGTTTTCCGCAGTCGCCTTCTAGGTTTGAAATCAAGGCTCTAAGCACTATGGTCACTGACAAGTTTCTAGGAGGACGGAACAGCTATATAATGCAGTTAAATTTATTGTCTGGCTAATTGTATCTTATCTAAATTGATATCAAAATTTGCTATTCAGTAAGGAGTCTTTTGTACAAACTTTTATAAGAACATTTGATAAATTTGCATAATTATCAATCACTTATAGTTTTAATGCATTATACATACACATACATACCGATTCCGGCGTAGGGACTAAATAGTTCATTAACGATTTCATCATATTCGGGACTATTGTGGATGACGTAAGCGGCCGAGCTCGTGAGTGCAGCACCAAATCCCTCCATGGTCTGGTACCGCTTTGTCTTGTCAATATTAATGTGAACGCCTCTTCCTCCCCCAGTACTTCCGTATATTCTAGGAAGCTGGCGTAACAGATTGTTGTGGTCTCCTGTCGTCAACCAACCTTGCATGGTGTCCGACAGGCTCGCTGTGTGTCTGACACACACCAACAGCACGAGGACAAAACACGCTGTGGATTGCAAGAGTGAATGCGCGTAAGAAATTGTCAATTCCAGTAGAGAAGTATGATGATAGAAAGAAAAAAAACATTAACGACAAATGTCACCTGAACAACTAGCAGCCAGGTGACGTGTCCTTTATTTAGCAAATGGTGCAAATAAAAGGTAAGATGGAAACAGGGAACTGGGTGGATACCTGTGAAAACCGAGCAGATAACTGTTTACAATGTAATATCATTAATATGTATAACAACGTTCTTATATAATTATGGCTGGTTGACGTATCGTTCACATATTTGTCGGTAATATGATTCAGTGCATATACTCTGCACGTGTTTGTGTTGAATAATGCGCTTTTTCCGTTAATAAAGATCGCAGCAAGAAGTTGAAACTATGTGTCCTCTCCAACTATTATCATGGAGCTCTGTAAAGCTGATGAGTTCCGTGTAAACATTTCATCATACCATTAATTTTGACAATGATTCGTGTTCCAAACATCAAGAAAAGTCAGGATCGATTGTAAAAAAAAAAAAAAAAAACACACAATTTGAAATATATTCAGTCGTCTGTGTTGAGCAATTTTGCATGAATCGTACTACGCACAACCATGTTCATGGTACTTGGACCGAATATAATCATATTACATATTTATGGACGGACACATAAACTTTCTGGTAATCTATCCTTCTAAAAAGTATGGTTGACAGTGCAATGCCATATACCTTGGCAAGATATGGGAGAAAACAGTATCCACAAAAGAATGGATAACGTTTGTAGAAATCCTGGACGAAGCTGAGAATATTGAACATTTTGAAATATATTACGTCTGCAGTCTAAAGCGGATGGACTATCAGGAGTGAGAAGGAACTAAAGATGTAACAGTTCTGACAGAGTACAGAATACCATCAACTATCCAGTTCGGTGAGATTTTATTCTGATAATAAACAAAAGGATGTTGAGCGAAGCGACATCAGAAAGCAGGAATTGGAACAATATATCGTATAGTTCTGCCAACACCGACCACTGAAACTGACAAGCTGAAGTCGTCAAAGAAGTAGAGAGAAGCAACAAGGTGTAATACACAGGTGTAATACACAGGTGCGTTTAACCATTTATAAACTAGTGCATTGTGAAAGATGTCTTACCGAGCTTTAGTTGAAAGAAGTGTGCAGCTGGCGCTACTACGTGTCCGTATCACAATAGGAAAAAGCAGATACAAAAATGGTTTCATTTCTCGGCACTGTTTTCTGTGGTGGTGGTGGTAGACTTGATCATCGATGTATAGAAAAGTGAAACGATATGTAAACTGTCTGAAATCGACGTCTGCACAAACTGGTTAACTGACTCGTAGGTTATCTAGCAATACTTCAATACTGAGGAGTTAAAGCGATGCACGCAGAAAATCACTGGACATAAACAGAACATAGAAAGAACTATAGCGTTTTGCGTTTGTTTCCTCTACGTTGGTAACCAAATTAGGATGATTAAATCTGTATTCTATCTGAATTTCCTCTTTCCATTCTCACATGTCAATACACCTCTTTCCCCACGGATGCTGAACGTCTGTCCCAGCAATGTGTGTTATGAACTCTATGCCCTGATTTTGTGCGTATTGTTGGACGGTCACATTTAATATTACTACTGAGAGAATGTCATTTTTCTGTATTCAGTGTATCACATTTCAGTGTGAATGAATTCATCATAAACCAAGTATGTATGTACCGCCCCCCCCCCTCCCCACCCCTCCTCCGTTTCCAATAAACGTGTACACATTTATTATCTGCTATTGGAAATATAGTCTCATATATATCTTACCTCTGTCATTTTTTTTATATCAACGAAGTAAAAGACCTCTTTGAATTGGGATATAGTAAACAGTGACGCATTTACTGACAGATATTAGATCTGTAAATGTCTTAAGTCGGACCTACGTGCAAGGATTACCTGACTTGTATAGTCCCATATTTCTTCCGTATGTTGATGTGAAGACGACCTGTGTTTCAACGTGATTTTCACTCAACAAGACATTCCTGTGTGGTTGGATAGACGTCTACATTACATATCTTATCAGTCACAACTATCAGTCGCGAATACCTTAGACGTAAGGAAGGGGTCAAAGAAATAAGGAAATAACTAGAATGACATTTGAATGAATGTTATATCATTTTTAGGCGAGATTGGTTGGTTAACCTAGTGATCACTAGGTATGAGCTCATACCACCAAGATGTTGTGTACGATAAAGCTCATGAAACCCTCACGAGATTTAGGCCACATTACGTCATGACATTACGCCATCCCGTTCCACACCTGATTAGATTTCGGTGTTCATCGGTAAAGATTAATGGTCAAATGCCACAAATGAATGGACCACCGTTTTGAAATACAAAACTTTCTCAAAGATATCTTGTGCAACCATTGATTTCCCAACCATAATAGTACAAGCTCTATACCTGATTAGATTTCTGTGCTCATCGGTCAATGTTAAATGGTCAAGGTTAAACGTCAAATACCAATCTTAAATTGATCACTTCTGAAACAGAAATCTCTCAACAAAGTTCTACGCTCCAACACATTTTGGTGTAGTCATCGGTCAATGTTACATGATCCAGGTTAAAGGTCAAATACCATTCTTAGACTAGAATAGTCATCGGTTAAGGTTAAAGGTCAAATGTCCCACTCAACCACTTTGAAATACATATCAAGATAACTTGTGTACAACATACCATAATCAATATCTCGGTATTACAGAGTTCTACACCTATAATCAAACATTTGGTGTCCATGGTTAACGTGAAAGGCCAAAGGGCACAGTGAAATTACACACTTTAGAAATATAAAGTTGCGTTAATGATATCTCGCGATCCCTTCGATTTTCTTATCATCATTTATCATCTGTTTAGATTTTGATGCCCACCGGTCAGTGTTAATGGTCAAGGTTATATGTAAAGCTACTCTTGAATCGGTCACTTCTGAAACAGAAATATTGTGTACACCTCTCAAAATAAATTTTACACCCGAATAGATTGCGGTAGTTATTGGTCAAAGTTAAAAGGCACCACATTTAAAATACAAATTAAGACCAATGGTCAGTCATACCCTGGGACGTATCATATGTAGGCTGGTCACACTCTTTTACTTGTAGAAATAATTATTATGAAAACTTGTGTTCTATATATATGTGTGTTCTTCTACATGTATGATGGAGTTTAGAATTTCACGATAAAATAAAAAAGTATGTGTGATTTTGGATATTATGGGAAAAGTATTATTCCCATAAAAGGAAACATGTAAATGACAAATGTGTACAATTAAATGCATTTTTTTTAGATTCCGGATCGTCCTCTTCGATAACGTTTAATTTTTATAACGATTGGTCGCGAGCCAAATAGGTGGGGTTGTTACATATTGCCCGTCACTTGATTCGATAGTTACACCTACTTAAAGGTAAGATTTATTGAACATTCGCTGGTAATCTACATGCAAATAACATCTTACATGTTTGATTTAGCATTAATGGTCAAGAGACTTTTCTCGCTGTAAATCAGTTCTAAAGTGTACCGATCACTCACTAACGTTACAGGTTGACAGAAGTGAAAGGGCCGATAGGGAAATCACAAAACACTCTATATTATATCAATTGTATGAGTACATTGTTCATTAATATACTGCTTATGAAATGTGGATTTTTCGGTGTTATTGTGTTGTTTCATTTTACATCGCAGTGACAGAAATATGATGAAATCCCTTGGGACGTCCCAATTACTTTCGTTTCAGGTATACTTAACACAATGTTCGAATTATGACACATTTGTTTACTTTCGGCATAGACAATATCATAATCAACTCGGAGGTAGTTTATCTATGTAACGTACATTATCAGTTATATTGTTTTTATTTTAGGCAATTCCCTAGTGGCTTTCTTTGCTGCTATAGGACAGGAAATAAAAGCAGTGACATCAGGAAGTAACAGACCCTTCCTAGAATCGAACTAAGTATCCAGTCTGGGGAAGAGGAACTATGAGTTCCTGTACTGGAAACTAACTTTAAGTGGAAGTGAGTAACTTTCTAACAATAATGATTGTCAATAACAAAACTGAACCATTATGTACAATTAACGTCAAGGTAAGTGTAAATAATTTACACTAAATAATTGTTTATTGAAGCGAAATTGTAAACATGAAAGTTTGAATGAAAGCAAAAATTGGAAATACTGGTGTCAAATATATTTTTATCCCTATACCTTGTATTCATTAGATGCTCATGTTGTTTTTAGGTTGGTGAAGGCATATCATTTTAGGATAGTTAATTAACAATGGCCAGTAATACAGTGGTTTGTTCCGATGATGAAGACAGCAATACTATGGATGACGATGGACTCAGTTTATCAAAAACAACACTTGAACCTTACATGGTAGCTGCGATTGATTTTGGAACAACTTATTCTGGTATCGCTCATTCCTTTAAACATGACTACAAGAAAGATCATTTAAAAATTTATTGCCATAAATGGTATGCGAAAAGTGGACTTGCACTTCCTTCCTTGAAAATGCCAACAACATTGTTGTTGACACCAGATGAAGAATTTGAAGCTTTTGGGTATGAAGCAGAGGAGAGGTACACAAAACTAGTTGATGACAATGCCCACTTTGGATGGCACTACTTTAAACACTTCAAGATGAATCTCTACAAACCAAAAGTAATTTTTTAATCACATCTTAAATTTTCTCAAAGCATTTTCAATATTCAGCAATTCATGTAAATAATTCAAATAATAATAATAATAATGAATAAAAGGAAGTGTTTTTGTTGGAAGTTTAGATTTAATAACCTGCGAGCAATGCAAATCTGATTTTGACAGGTTTTTTTTAAATCTACCCCTTCACATTCAGTAAAGTCTTGGTAATTCATTTTAAGAATTGACATAAATACAATTTTAACATAGAAGATGTTTTCAGGTGAAACTTTCAAGAGACACCAAGTTAAAAGATGACCAGGACCAAGAGGTTCTTGCACTTACAGTGTTTGCAGAGTCCATAAAATATTTCAAGGAAATGCTTCATGACAATTTCAAGAATGCAGCAATAAAACCTACTGATGATACCATTACCTGGGTACTGACTATACCTGCTATCTGGGACAACACAGCCAAACAGTTTATGAGAGAAGCTGCTGTGAAGGTACTGTCAAACAAAACGACATGTCCATGATTTTGACGATCAAATGTTGTTGTTTCTATTTCTTTAGAAGCATTTGATAGACCTGAATTTTCATTTGAAGGTTCCCCTTGTTCCATTTTTGGGCCAGTTTTATTTTAGGACTGATCAGAAAATAGGGCTGACAGACAACAATCTTCAGTCTTGACATTGAAAGATTGTTATTGCAATTTCTAGAGGAGCGTTTGATGGATATTTCTCAGATTTCATATTTAGGCTCCCCTTGGTCCCTGTTTGTGCTCATTTTATTTTGGAATTGATCAGAAAAACAAACTTGCTGATAGGCAACCATCTTGGATTTGTCAGTTATTATTGTCTTTTTTTAGAGGAATTTTCAAATTTCATGCAACAGAGCAAAAAAAGAAGAAAAATGAAAGAAAAGAAAGAAAAAGCGCAAATTTTTGAAAAACAAATAAAAATAAAATAATGGCGGGCACCAAGATCAATGAGTGGTCTCTTGTTTTCATACTGATTGTATATTGTGTAACAAATAAGTGTCTTTAAATCATAAAGATTACTTCTGAAATTGTCTAATGAATTAGTTGTTTATTTGTTAAATTTTCTTGGTGATATTGTGTTGCAGTCTATTTGATGCACAATTTTGTATTCTTGTTAAAGGCGGGAATAAAAAATGAACATCTGTTGTTTGCCCTGGAACCAGAAGCAGCATCTGTGTACTGCAAAGAAATCCATGTCCAGCGTAAAACAGGAGACGAAGGAGCTACCTTTCTCACTTCTTATGACCCTGGCACAAAATACATGGTTGCTGACCTTGGAGGTACGTCAGGGAGATCTGAATATAGCCAGTCTTAAATTTTGATATACAGGGCAATGATGAAGTTTTAAAAACTTTCAAAAATTAGCTTTTGAAAAAGTCTACATTAAAATTCATTTTGTGTTTTGTAAAGATTTGAATCTGTGTCTGGCATGATGTGTATCATAATTTACCGTAAGTAGGAAAACGTAATGAATTAAGAAGTCATTCACAAATCGTGATTAATAAGTTTCTTTAAAAATGTTTTTTATATTGAGTTTTGGCTGTGAAAAATACACACTTCTTAACCTTTAGTTCTAATCCATATGTATAGCATGTTTCAAATTAAAAAAAAATTGCAATTATCCAAACTTGAAATTGTTTCACCATATGTAATGAGGTGTAACTCATATCAGTGTTTTAAATGTGTTGCTGTGGTGCCTTTTGATAACACACAGTTATTGCCCTTTGTTTCGATACATATGAGGATTTATAGAGCTGTCAAGGTTGATATTGGTTACCCTTATTCCATAAATCCTCATATCAATCCAAAAAAAAATGCCATAGCAGTTTTATTACATTTTGGAATCAAAACCAGAGCACAGAAAGTATGATCCCACGCTGTTTAAATTTCACCTAATATTCACCATAGAGTCATGAATATCGCATCTTTGCTGAATAATTGTATTGCTCTCTCGCAGAATATGACAGACAAACCTGATTGGCTGAACTTACATTATTTCACAGAACACTTGCACGAATGTGAAATATAATGTTTTACCACAGTCATAGAGAGTATGTTGATGGTAAATTGAATAACATGTGATCAGATGTAGACCAATTGGCATCTTACACAAAACCGAAAATGTAATCAATGTGTTTATTGGAAAGGCATTGTGTTATATGCTAATTGAATTATTTTCATTGAAGGTGGAACAGCAGATTTCACTGTGAGAGAAGTGATGCAGGATGGGTCCCTCAAGGAAGTCGTTTGTGCCTCGGGTGAGGCATGGGGTGGCATGAATGTCAACAAGGAATTCTGGAAATTCATTGAGCAAATTGTAGGCAAAGACCAGATGAAGGAGGCTTTTCAGAATTGCAAAGCAGAGCAGTTAGATTTTGAAAGATCTATTGAGCAACAGAAACGTGACCTGAGGGCTGAGGGAGATGGAAATGACATTGGAATTCGGCTAAGTCTTGGAGCTCTCAATGAATATGTTGATGAATCGTCTGCTAAGAAACTGCAGAACACTTTCAGAAAAGGTAAAGTAGATATCAAGAAAGGAAAGATCAAAATACCAGTGACAGTAATTAAGGATTTCTTTGAACCCTCTGTGAACAGCATAAAGGATCATTTTGAGGAGTTATTTAGGAAAAAGGAGACACTTGGAGTAAACGATGTGATATTGGTAGGGGGGTTCGCTGAGAGCAAAATAATGCAAGAGGCAGTTAAAACAATGCTGACTGGAAAGAAAGTGGTCATTCCCCAAGAGTGTGGACTAGCAGTGCTGAAGGGAGCGGTCTTGTATGGACTTAATCCAGGCATTGTTTCAGCACGTATCAGTCAGCACACATATGGTACACAGGTTCACAGATTCTTCTTGAAAGACTTTGATGACGAGGAAATGCGAGACAAAAAACATCGAAATTATTGTAAGCAAGTTTTCAACAAGTTGATAGAAAAGGATGAGCTAGTCTATGTTGGCAAGACTGTCGAAACTGAAGTGTTTCCCCTGACAGCAGACATGACTGCGATGACGATTAGTATGTATTATTCCGATCAGAAAAATCCTAAATACACTACAGGCTGCACTTACTTGGGAAAAATGACTGTTGCGATGCCTGACACCACTGGTGGCTTGGAAAGGAAAGTGGTGGTCAGTCTGCACTTTGGTAAGACTGAGTTGGTCTTTGAGGGAAGGGACGAAAACTCAAAAAAATCTGTTACAGTCAAGCTAGATACACTGGAAAATCGCTCCAAACCATTATGAAATGGTTCTTATGTCTACCTGTCTGCTACATATCTCTATTGTGTTTTATTTCCTATATCACATCCTTGATGTTTCTAGGATTTTTATTGGTTATTACCTGAGAAAGTAGAAACCAATTACATATGATTATTATCAACTTATTATACAACAGTTTAACTTTCTTCCAAATTTTTGAATATGTAAACTGTGTGTAACTTAACTTGGACAAACTGGTATTGATTGAAGTCACATGTGCATACATAATTGTTTCTCAATAGATCCATTTAAAATTTGGATAAGGTGAGGTCACCACGACGGTTCACCTGTGATATGGGAATTTGTAATCATTTCACCATAGATCCACCTTCAACTTTGAGAACAGGACGTCGTCATGAAGTGCATGTGTTATATGAGTACATGTGATCATTTCACTATCAGTCTATGTTAAACTTTGAAGACCTGACATTGCCACAACGGTGCTCATATGATGTAGGCAGTTGTTTCACTTCCAACATTATGACACCAGGAGGGTGCAGATTTTATATCTACAAGTGGAATCATTTCACTATAGATCTGTGTTATATTAGTAGAGTATAACTGAATTGGTGCCATTGTGTAGAACAAAATATGGCTGCCATATACAGGCTGCAACAGTATATATATATATAGTTCAATTAGATGAGAACATTGTGTATCATTTAAATATGTAAACATAAAAGGCCAACAAGGCAGATAAACTTGATTATTGTTGATATGTTGATACCAAGACATTAAAGTAATCGCCTGAAGATAGCCGAGACACGGCTTGAAAACGTTAGCGATAATCAAGTTTATTTGCCTTGTTGGCCTTTTATGTTTACATAGATATATATCGTCTTTTTTCTGAATATGTTTAGCTGCTGTGTATTTGTTGAAAGTTTCTATATTTCAACATTTGCAATTGTTTTTTGATTATCTGTATACAGGCATATAACCAGTTATTTCAAAACTTGATATAACAAAGATTATCTAATATCACATGTACTTTATTCCATGCTGTACCATTGTTTTTCTTTGTTGTTGTTTTTGATTTTTTAAAGACATATTTGCTCCTCAAATGTATCATAGGATGCATATAATATCATAGTTATGTTCAACCTTAAAAAATCTTTTGAAAGACTGTTTTCCTCAATGAGTACTCACATTTTTATCTGTTAGAAAGATAAAAAAAATACCAGAAAATGTCGATGAGTCCTGGATAGTCAGTGGTGCAGTGATATCGTACTTGCCTTTCATCTGTATGTCTGAGGTTCAATTCCTAGAATGGATGTGAAAAGATGTGAAAGTCACATGCCCAACCAGTGGATGGACTATGGACTTGAAAATGCTTCAATTAAGCAGTCCACATACTGGGGAAGCTGGAGAAGTTACCACTCAAGCCCATAAATCAAACAAAGAACTTTCCTAGGCCTTGAAAGATAGGTATGGGAAAAAGTCATACCAATAATTTAAAATGCTATTGGATGTCCTAAAACCACTAAAAGAAATGTATCATGGATGTACAGCAAGAGTGAAACAATATGTGACCAGATTTCTTGATGATAGTGTAGATGTTCTTCAAAAGTTAGAAGAGGAATTTTTCCACAGTGCCCTTTCGCTGACACAGGCATAGTGGATTCATGGAAATAAAGGATCCAGAAGTGTTGTTGAAGTGGTGGAAGATTACATTTTCCCTGACCAGAGTGCAACTAAGCCAAAAATGCAGGTTAGTCAAGCTTCTGTAATTTCATCAGAGTATGAAACATAGAAAACATATTCCGATGATTCACTGAAGAATGTAAGATTTTTTTCTGTTACAAAATGGGTCATATCGCAAGGAAATATCTGAAGGCCAGCAAAAACAAAGTCATTAACTGGGAAGTCAACCATCATTCTGACGACCTACTTCACTTACCAGGTGAGGTGAATGGAGGAGTCATTAGTTTGGTGAAGGACACTGGCACAGTTATGGCACTGATAAGAGAAGACCTTGTATACTGCAATTGGCTGTTGTAGACATGGAAATGCCATTCTACAAGGGACATGCCCAAATTGGTTCCAGACCTTGCCACAAAGGCTATGTTGGGTTAAACATTATGGAACGGAAAACAATCAACGTGGTTACCAAGAGACAACAATGACAAAGAGATAAGGATGAAAAATGGATCTCTCAGAAAATTATCATGTAGACAGCAGGATGATCTGGACTGGCAGAAAGTGATTCCGAAGTCAGGGGTGATGATGTGACCCAGAAGAATGTTAATAAATCAGAATTGGAGGAAACAACTGAAAAGGAGTCCAAGGACACAGAGAAGTAACACCGATGTAAAATCGATGTTGAAATCCTCAGAGATATGCACATATCCGATAACTCACTAGCAAATTTGAGTTGAAAGACAGCTGATTCTCCAGGGAAAGTGAATGATGATTCCAACACCATCTTTTTTGAGAACAGAATTCTCAAATGAAAATGGAAATAACAGATGGTATGTGTTCTGGTGTGCAGGTTATTTTACCTGGAGATTCGAGAGATAAAATTATTGAGCTGGCTCCCAAGAGATCACTAGCACGCCACTTGGGTGTAGAGAAAACAATGGAGCGTGCCTTAGCTTCTTTCTAATGGCCAGGTATATTTAAGAAAGTGCCTAACTATTGTAGTAGTTCTGACATATGTCACAAAGTGGCAAAACAACATATTGATGAAAAGGCACTGTTAGTGCAACCTTCAAATGTGAGTAAAACCTTTCATAAGATTTCAATGGATGTAGTAGGCCTCTTGTCATGGTCAAAGAAAAGAAATTGTTTTATTCTGACAATTATCGATGACACGACACAATATCCAGAGGCCTTTGCACTCAAAAATGTGGATACTGGAACGGTATCAGCCACTCTGATTGTGATGTTCCCACATGTTGGATTTCCGAGAGTAATTCTAATGGATCAGGGTACAAATTTCACCTCGGAACTGTTGAAAAACCTGTACGAGTTAACAGTTATCAAAGGGATCAGGTCACTGTATCACCCACAAGCTAATGGTATGGTGGAAAGGTTTAATATCACTTTGAAGGCTGTATTGAAGAAAATTTTGTTACCTTACGTACTGTTTGCAAACCGAGAAGTGCCTCACAGGGAAACTGGGTTCTCCCCATTTGAGATGGAGAGGTGAAAAAATTAATTGATGAAATGTTGGAAAAGGGCCAAATTTCTCAATCAGCAAGCCCTTATTCAGCATCAGTAGTGGAAAAACCAGACAAATCAGTTAGACTTTCTGTGGACCATCGTAAATGATATCACACAAAGTGACGGATATCCCATTCCACAAATAGATGACATTTTCGAGAAACTTGGTTGAGCCAAGTAATTTAGTCCCGGGTTACTTGCAAATTCTGTTAGCAGAGGAGTCATAGGATAAGTCAGCTTTCGTCATGGAATTTGGCCAGTTTAAATTCCATGCCATGCCATTTGTGATGAAGACTGCCAGCAACATTCACATGTATGATGGATAAAACTCTGACAGTACTGTCAAATGTTGTCACTTACTTTGACGACATCATAGTATTCAGTGAGAAATGGGAAGATCATTTGAATCATCTACGTGCATTATTACAACGACTTAAAGAGATTGACTTGTGAAGCTCTAAATGTGTATTTTTGGGAAGGAGGAATTGCATTGTCTGGGCCATGTTGTTGGTCAGTAGGACTGTAAAACCACACAAACAGAAGGAATTACATTGTCTGGGCCATGTTGTTGGTCAGTAGGACTGTAAAACCACACAAACAGAAGGAATTACATTGTCTGGGACATGTTGTTGGTCAGTAGGACTGTAAAACCACACAAACAGAAGGAATTACATTGTCTGGGACATGTTGTTGGTCAGTAGGACTGTAAAACCACACAAACAGAAGGAATTACATTGTCTGGGCCATGTTGTTGGTCAGTAGGACTGTAAAACCACACAAACAGAAGGAATTACATTGTCTGGGCCATGTTGTTGGTCGGTAGGACTGTAAAACCAGATGAACAGAAGGAATTACATTGTCTGGGCCATGTTGTTGGTCAGTAGGACTCTAAAACCACACAGACAGAAGGAATTACATTGTCTGGACCATGTTGTTGGTTGGTAGGACTGTAAAACCAGATGAACAGAAGGAATTACATTGTCTGGGCCATGTTGTTGGTCAGTTGGACTGTAAAACCACACAGACAGAAGGAATTACATTGTCTGGGCCAGGTTGTTGGTCAGTAGGACTCTAAAACCACACAGACAGAAGGAATTACATTGTCTGGGCCATGTTGTTGGTCGGTAGGACTGTAAAACCACACAGACAGAAGGAATTACATTGTCTGGGCCATGTTGTTGGTCAGTAGGACTCTAAAACCACACAGACAGAAGGAATTACATTGTCTGGGCCATGTTGTTGGTCGGTAGGACTGTAAAACCAGATGAACAGAAGGAATTACATTGTCTGGGACATGTTGTTGGTCAGTAAGACTGTAAAACCACACAGACAGAAGGAATTACATTGTCTGGGCCATGTTGTTGGTCAGTAGGACTGTAAAACCAGATGAACAGAAGGAATTACATTGTCTGGGCCATGTTGTTGGTCAGTAGGACTGTAAAACCACACAAACAGAAGGAATTACATTGTCTGGGCCATGTTGTTGGTCAGTAGGACTGTAAAACCACACAAACAGAAGGAATTACATTGTCTGGGCCACGTTGTTGGTCAGTAAGACTGTAAAACCACACAAACAGAAGGAATTACATTGTCTGGGCCATGTTGTTGGTCAGTAGGACTCTAAAACCACACAGACAGAAGGAATTACATTGTCTGGGCCATGTTGTTGGTCGGTAGGACTGTAAAACCAGATGAACAGAAGGAATTACATTGTCTGGGCCATGTTGTTGGTCAGTAAGACTGTAAAACCACACAAACAGAAGGAATTACATTGTCTGGGACATGTTGTTGGTCGGTAGGACTGTAAAACCAGATGAACAGAA